TGGAAAATTCAAAACTCAAGTATGGTCAGCGCTTACGAAGATGATTTGGACAGCAGCCTAGGTGGCGAATTAGTGCAGTTTGTAAAGTTGCTGAAATCAGATGTGGCTACTGTTATCGACAGCAAGAAACAGAAACCGCTGGAGCAGCAATTGTATAAGCTTTTATTAAATAATTCTTTAGAATCGTGTTTCCCAAACTGGGCCCCCAAGGCCTCCTACGCACTGGCGACCATGGTCGCCGCGACTAGCCGCGGCCGGAACCGCGGCGGCCAGATGAATTCTGGACTTTATTGGCAATCGCTATAGCCCCTACGCACTTACGGCCAGCGACCAGCGGCCACCGTTGGCCCGGCGTCCAAGTTGATGCCACGCGACCAGCGACCAATCGTGGCCGTCGAGAACATCACTTCTGTATTAAAATTCATCAGTGCTAGTTGCTACCGCATCGGCCGCGGCACCAGACGTGTAGCTAGCTACAGAGTGATTATTTTACAATGGCCAATTTCGACACGGAAAGGTTCATAATTGAAGTTGAAAATAGAAGAGGTTTATGGGATTTAGCATCAAATGATTACTTCCAATAAAGATGTTAAGCGGCAGTTGTGGCTTGAAGTGGTCGATATATTTGGCGGTGAATCCATGGAAGATAAAGAAAAGGCAGAACTTGGTTAGTATTTTATTTTATTATGCCTAAGTAAAATTAATAATGCGATGAACTACAATAAACGCAGCAGGTGCTGTAGTAGCATTCGACACGTATATGTGACATGAGTGATTTTTTTAAAGTTGTTCCGTTCATTCAAAAATCTAAGAAATTTTAGCAAATAGGTAATTGTCAAAAGTATAACTATTTTATTTCTACTATTTTTCGCTTTGCACATGAGTTTTGACAATTATTTGCTAAAATTTCCCAGGTTTTCGTAATGATTGGAATAACTTTTAAAAAGATTACTCATACCGATGTGCGTTCGACGCCATTTGTTTACGCGCGCAATGGCGGCTCGCGGCGAGCACCCATATATTTACAAATTGTGCCAGGGCAAGCGACCATCGGTACTGAAGTAGTTTGCGAATATACCTCGATATTCGGTTGATGTTCTATTTGCTCTATTAGGTAAACATGCAGGTATTTCTAATAAAGCCTCTGGTACAGTTAACGTGTCCTTGAAATCATATCCGTCTCTTTCCACAATCGCACAAAATTATGAAGCACACATAGAGCTTTTATAATCACAACTGCAAATTCTTTCTTGACGTTTAGGGGTCGGTGAAGAATCTGCCATTTATTGGCTAATATTCCAAATGTACATTCAATATAGCGGCGGGCACGGGATAGTCGATAATTAAAATTAGTCTTTACATTATTCAAGTTTCTCCCAGCATACGGTCGCATCATATGTTCCGATAGTGAAAACGCCTCATCACCCACTAAAACGAACGGCATTGATTGGCCATTTTCTTTGATGGGGTTATTGCTCGGAATATCGAGATCATTATTTAAAAGCCTATGATAAAATACAGAGTCTTTGTAAATTGACGAATCACTGCATTTGCCGTATGCTCCAATATCTAAGTAAAGAAATTTATAATTTACATCACATATTGCAAGTAACACGATTGAAAAATAATTCTTGTAATTGTAATAAAGAGATCCCGAATGTTGTGGTTTGATAACTCTAATGTGCTTGCCGTCGATGGCTCCGATGCAATTAGGAAATTGGGCGTATTTTTGAAAACCTTCAGCCGTTTGAATCCACTTATCTCTGGTCAATTGTGGCATCACAATTGGTTTTAATATCTCCCATATTGCTTCACAAACATCAAATACTATTTCCGATACTGTAGGAAGCCCTATACGGTATTCATGACTTATATGAGATAAAAAGAACACCCAGTAGCCAAATACCTGAAAAATAAAAATTCACATTAATAAACATAATATTAGTTTTGTAATATGTACTACATTTATTTATTGATTTACAGGCATTACTCTCCCAAAAAGATGGAAAAACCTTAGAGACTGTTTCACAAGAGAGCTGCGCCGTCTTAAAGATGTCAAAAGTGGTTCTGCTGCAAAACGTAAATCACAATACACCTATTTCAACCAATTACTGTTTTTGAAATCAGTGCTGGACACAAACGCAACAGAAAATAGTCTCGAAGAGGCAAGTCAAGAAAATGAAAGTGCAAGATCTTCTGATCTTGAGACTCAACAGTCTGCATCAAAGTCGCTTAGAACAAAAAGGAAGAAAAAATACCAAACGAAGAATCCGATACAGACCCTCTAATTTCAGTTCTGCATAAGACCATAGCGACTACACAGAATGATTCAAATTGTGACAGACTGTTTCTTTTATCCCTCCTCGAAAGATTTCAAACAATCCCTGCTGCAATGAAGACCAAAGCGAAAATGGAAATCATGGAAATTATAGAAAAATACCAACCGAACTGTACACCTACAAATCGACCGAGTTATTCAGGTTATTCTACTACCAACAGGATATCAGATGATTCAAATTACAGCGATACTCATACTCATTATTCTGATATTTCTCAAAATTCAGAAATGATAGACCTATTTCCCAATTTGAATGATTAATTGTTCACAATTGCCATTTTTTAAGTTATGAAAATACAAATAATTTGATTATCTACTTCAGTTTTTTAATATTTAAAAACATGTTATAAGCAAGCCCTTTTCCTCTCCTTTTCAAAGTCGTAAAGTAGAATACTACTGAACAATAGTTCATAAATTTTTTAAAGTGGCAAAACCTTGGTCAATGAATTATACAGGTTGTTGTGAAAAACGCAACAGTGGTGGTTTAGGGTGATTCAGAATCAAGTCTTGTATAATTCAAATTTAAAAAAAAATCCGTTTAGCAGTTTAAAAAAAAAAAAGGCCCTATCACATTATTTTTATTTTTCCTGTACACAATACTCCATTCCGAAACATCCTTTAAAATATATCACGTATTTTTTAAACATTCTGTATTTAAAAAAGAAAAAGCTTACCTTATTGTTATTACTAATTTTTCTTCTGCTGGAATGCATTTCCGATAGTTGTTACCAGTTCCAGTAATTTTTGGTTTTATTGTATCCAGTAACAGGTTAAAAGTATTCGTTGACATTCTCATGTAATTAAAGAATCTCTTCTCATACATTTTTAAATCCAAAAAATAAGTATAATATAATCCTTTAGTCTTTCTCTCGCAAAAGTAATGGATGCACCCAAAACTGTCTTTTACGTGAAATCTTCCGTTTTCGTTTTCGTAGTAAATACACAAGCACAGTTAGCGTGATTATCTTCTGCACGTCCATCTTGACACATCCTTGGAAGTCGACTGCAAATTTTTCGGCCGGCCCATTGCCGGCCCGGGCTTCCCCCTCGCGGCCCTCCTCAAATGATTGTACGCACCGGCGACCATGGCCGCGGCGGCCTGGCCGCGTCTATGGTCGCCAGTGCGTAGGCAGCCTAAGATTGTTATGTTGCCTTGCGCATTTACTTGTCTCTCATGATCACTAATTGCAGTGGCGAACGTTTTTTTTTTTCAATATTAAATGGTATTAAAAATGAATTAAGGAACACTATGGGCCAAGAACGTCTTAATTATCTCACTTTATTCAATATAGAGTATGATTTGCTTAAAGAAATTGATAGTCGATATTGATAGTTTTATCTCTAAATTTGCCCATATTAAACCCAGAAAAGTTTATTTAAACTGTTTTGTTTTATTTAATACCCTTAACTTGAAAACCTAAAGCAAACCAAGGGCTCCTAGGCAGAATTTGCTACAGGCCCCGCGCTGGCTTAATCTGGCACTGGTATAAGTATCGCAATACAGCGAGGAAATGCTGCTCGCAAATGGATTAAAGATACACTGCTACAGGGACCCAACTTTTTAAATTTGTTGTAATTTTTCATTTATCCATTTATAATTATTATTATAATTACTTTGTAGGTTAAGAATATTGTAAATACTTTATCGAAATAAAATATTACTAACTAAAACATCAATATATCTTATGCATTTCAATACGCAACACAAAGTGTTTATGATTCACCATGCAATCAGATGATTCTTTATTTAAAAATTAAATTATTAGGTATGTTGTCAATGTCAATATAGTATTGGAAAGTAAGGAGTTTCGTTGACAAGTTGATGTGGTCAGCATGTTATGATTCACAACGCTCCACCTAAGGGTAATAAACTCTGACAATAGCCTGCTTATTGTATTTATAAATATTTCCCATGTCCAGGAATTTGATGAGAACTTGAGTGACTAATAAATTTAGTGAATTTAAAATTAAATTCAAAAAGGTGATTTTTAAATTATTGATTATTGGGGTGGTATTTAAAAAAATCACGTCGAACTGATAGCATTCTTCTTCAAGTCGGTTACCAATACGTATCATACTTTTGATAGACACACTTTGTAATATTTAACCATATTCATTAGACAGAACTATTTGTCATTAAAAATAAATTGCTCGCACATGTCGCTCTAAGTATTTGGCATCTTAAATAATGCTCATAATTGTTTTGCTGTGATATCTAACGGGTGATTATGGTTTGTTTAAATGTGTGGCACTCGCGTAAAACACAATGTTATGGCATTATATCCTCGTCTGATATGAAGGTAGATTATTTTCAACGAGGCCGTGCAAAAAGGAAAGTTTCAATATATTTACTTACTACGGTAATCTACGCTAAGAAATGATATTATAAAGGTTAACTTTGCATTTAAAAAAAATGAAGTCCCTCACTCGTGTCTAACTGTATAGAACAAGATTAATTCAAGAATTACCAACCCGATTTTGGTCCGATTTTCACTAAATACGTAAAAAAACTGTTATTGATAAGAAAAAGAAATTATTAACCTTTACCTTTAATGAATCAAAATTTCGTCAAAAACAGTTTTAGTCACATTTACGTAAGCGGTTTCGATTGTTCCTCGTTGTACCTACCTACATTACTATCAGCGTCTACAAACTGTATATAATGTTAAGTGAGACCGCAGTCAACAAACCTCAGTCTTGTTGCATTAGCGGCAGAACATTAGTCGTTAAAAATGTATCGGTTTGTGCTTTTCTTAAGTTTGTTTTCCTACGCAGCGTCGAAGTGTTAGTATCAATCTTTCAATAAAAATATAGTACATATGCAATTTACTAAAATCATGATTTTTTTGGGTGATATTCAAATTCACACAAACAAATTCACATAAACACTCGTTCTGTTTTAGCTGAGCTGTCATGTAGACATATTCGCGAATTCGTGGATAGGCATAATTATTGGAGGTTGAAATTGGCGAAGGGTGAAATACCTAATCAACCGGCGGCATCGGAAATGAAGTATATTGTAAGTTGTATCTTAAGTAAATGTAATCATAATAACAGTGAAAATAAATATGTAACAGTCAATATTTTTTCTAGATTTGGGACGAGGAGTTGGCAGCAAAAGCAGATAAATGGGCCTCCAATAATGAATTTAAGCATAACCCGGATAGAACTGTCGGTGAGTTATTTTATGTGGAAGGCCTACAAAGCTTTTGGATAATATAATAACTGTGTTTAGGCATAGCGGTTTCAACGTGTGACGTGAGACATCGTAGGTTCAAACCCCGGCCGTACGGTGAAAGAAAACATCGATAGGAAACAGGCATGCCTAAGACCCAAAAAAGTCGACGTCGACGTGTATGTCTGGCTCAGAAGGCTGGTTACCTATTTTTTAATTAGAAAAAACAAATGATCACGAAGCATATACAGAAATCTGAAGGCAAAAGACCTAAAATAAAATAATTAAACGCTCGTTTTTCATGTAATAATTGTTAATTGCAATCAAGCCAAATGCGCCGCTTTAATTTGCGTGTTTTTCGCGTTTTTAATTTTGGGATAGTTCCCAAGGTGTTCTTTTAAATTGCATTAAGAAATATACTGATGAAATGTTAGAGCAATGCATTTAATTTCACAGACTACTGTGTACTGCCTGGAAAAAAAGGCGATTTTTGGATCTAAGATACAGTCAAGACTTTGTCTTACGCAACATATAAGTTTTGATTAGGAATAACGAAACTTATATGTTTGTATAAATTCCTTAGACATGCGTATGAAGAGAGATAGATAAATATGCAGTATTTGTTGCCCACAGAGATTTTATCAGGATTTTTAAAATGAAATATTGAAGTTATCACTTCTATACCAAAGCAATATATCTAAAATATGTTTTTTTCATTATCTATTGAGTAACACAAAGACTGTTAATTCAAACCTTATTGAATCAACGACAATTTTTCACCATATAATTTAATGTTCTAGGTTCAAATCGCTTTACTACGGGTGAAAATATATTCTGGACTGCTTCCACTGATCAGTCATACAAATTTGAACCGAGAAGTGCCGTGGATTCCTGGTTCAGTGAACACAAAGACTTCAACTATGGACCTTTGCAATCTTGGCAATTTCTGCCTTCTTCTAAGATGATTGGTCATTACACACAGGTGATTGAAGATTGGATAATCATTTCTTCCTTTTGAAATGGTTTTGGTGCTATAGTGAAGCCGAACTGATGATAATTAATTTAAAAAATTATACCCATCCGTCTCCATTATTTGCCTATACATGGCCCCCTCGAAATATGTCGATCTCTTCTTTTAATGAAACCTGTTCCTGTTAGTTAAAGTTAAAATTATCAAAAAGTATCATTTCGGTATGACTAAGTTTCATAAAAGTGAACAAACAAAACAAAATAAATTTAAAAAAAATTACGAAATTTTGAAATTTTTTATCCAATTCCAATACCTACAGATCCAAGATTGTTAGTAACAAGTAATAACCACATCGCGTACGTGATTGAATTGTATTTTAGAGAATAATTTATTTTATTTTTATTCATGCACTAAAATATAGAAATTTTATTTTTATTTCAGGTGGCATGGTCCGATTCAATTTATTTAGGCTGTGGGGTCTCTAAAGCATATAAAAATGGATGGGTTAATTACTACGTTGTATGCAACTATGGACCGACGTAAGTAGCCAAAAAAATGTTTAAACCCTTTTAAACTGATATAAACACGAATTTAACCTAATTCGACGCCCCGAATATAGCACGGTTACTAAGATAGTTAATTCGCGATTGAATTCGTTAGTAAAGCTTTATTTAATTGTGTTGGACTCGCCAAAACCAATGAATATATTATGTTGAGTTATGAGTTCATAATGACCCAACAACTCCGGTTGATATGTCATGTGCATTAAACACTAAGCCACGGAGCAAATTTTTGTATTACATTTATAACTACGGTCTTATATTTATGTGCTCAATATTTAAAGCGCAGACAGTACAGATTTTATATTATATTTTAAATAACTAGAATATACTCGCGCCTTCAAATGATTTTCGGGAGTGTAATTAACATGTGTGTAAAATCGACATTATTTACAAGTTAATATTTTTGACTTGTCTTTGACTTACGCGGCATTTCATAAGAAAGATAAAAAAACAAAAGAATCTGGATCTTTGCATCCAACAAAATTTTGCAGAAGTCAACTTGACCGCGTTAATATGGCAACTATGGTTTTCTGTTAAATTGACGTTGCAGTCTTTTGCGATCGCTGAATAACGAGTTTTTTTAATGTCATAAATTTACGTTTATATCGGGTGAAGAGGTTTTATTTTATTTTTTTATTTTTTGTCTCTGGTTTAGTCTACATTTATTTTCGTTAAACAAAAATTTCTAAAAATAGCAAATTATGTCACTAATATAAGGTAGCTTTTACAATCTGATTTTCTCACTGAGCATAAATTAAATACACCTGTTTGTAATTGTTTTGTCTACAGTGGAAATTACTTGGGCAGGACCCCCTATCCCGCCGGAAAGCCGAGTGGCCAGCTCGTATGTGCCCACGATTGCAGTAGATTCTACGGGGACAAGTGTTGATATGATAAATCTATTTTAATTTAATTTATGCTATTGGTTTCAATTATATTTATTCCTAATTCTATATTTTTTAAATTATTCCGTATGCGATATAATTCTGCGTTAATATTTATGGTGTAAAATAAAATTGGATAAGTAAAGGATGAAGTATTCAACTTCGTACCTTTGTTGAATATTTGTATGACAATCTTTTAACAAAACTACGTTGTCAAACTAATGGTAGATATACAAAAATCAAGGCTCAATTACATCTTCTTTTTTCATTTTATATCTACCGTCACATCTTATCATACTTCAGTTATATAAAACATATAGTTATAAGAAATTTTAATAATTTCCAAGTTTGTTTTGCTAAGACGGACAAAATCTCGTAAAATATATCGTTTTCACAAGATTTAGGTAATTGTATCTTGAATGTACTTTATCATTATGTTAATCGTATTATCGTTATCTCAATAATTATACGACAGCAATATCAGGTAAAGTGGCATAATTATTTAGTTATAGTTCTTTGAAAATAATTGAAATGGTAAGTTTAATTTTGTGATTTACTTTGCAATAAAATATTGTTACACAGACGTAAACTTTAGTGATATTCCAATGAGGTATCTAGTGATCCTATTTATACAGGGTGGTCCAACTAGTGACGTCAATAAATTTTTTTTAGATTCCTCACTACTCATTTCACAGAAAAAGAATAATGAGTAAATGGTTCTACGCCCTTGATTTGAAAACTGGCAGTAAATATGAAAATCAGAATTCATAAGTGATTTTGATTTGATTCAAATTTTTCTTATTTGTGATTATTCCATGATTTTAGAACAAATAACACGTTTCTTCTATCGTAAAACATGTTTTCATCTATACACTTTTTGGTGGGTAACTGGTGATATTCAGTAACAAAACTTACCTACCGCTAAGACGTTACCTCAGATACTGTTGTCAGGGCTAAACCAAGTTGCGACCAAGCCAAGTACATACTTGTATCCAGAAACATTGTTCTTGTCAAACTTGGCGAAATCTGATTTCTATCAGGTACTTTTGGTACGATTACAGAATATTTTTCTTATTTAAACATATTAATAATATCACCTGACTCTGCAAAATTTGATAATCTATGTAGTAGAACCGTAAGGTGAAAATAATATCAAGTTAGCTAGTAGTTTTTTTAATCCAATAAAGTAGGAGTGCGAAATTTTAATTATTTAGCGAAGTGAATAATTTCAAGTTTAATTTGTGTAATATGTTAAACGGCATTCATTATTAATGATATTTTGTTACATGATTGTCCGTTTTGGTGACGCGTAGGTATGTGTCATACAGTAAAGTGTGAATCGACATTATATATGTTAAATACCGGTTGTCATTGCTTGTTGTTAAGTATTCAGAAAGCTAATTGGAACAGCTGGTCTTTGCTGTAAGCACTACGCCTCGTGGAAGTTAACTATTTAGAAAATTAACGGGAGATGCTTTTCTAAACCAGCAATAATATTTATTTCCGTCCAGGTAAAATTTGAGAAATAATTAGGCTTAGCACTAAGAGAGTTAGATGTTAGTTAGAGTTGATAAAAGATGAAATTAAAAAAGAGCGCTTTCTTATGGATGAAATTCCTAAATTGTAACTTAAAAATATAATTTCAGGAACAACACCAATGGAAAAGATCGGTGGTTATATTGCAGCCATGCGTGGGATAGTAAATTGTACTAATCTTTCTTATGAAAGCTATGTTAGCCTCTACAGGTCTACAAATGATAATAGTAAGTATTGACCTTTTTATGTAGTTTGTTTCGGTGGTCAGAGTGATAAGGGTAAGGGACCATTATTATATTATCATCTGTATTTGAAATTGTTTGAATTGGATAATAAGGACTGGTATTTAGTCTTAAAAGCATGTGTGCAAAAGTTATTACCATGGTATTACCAAACATCTACCGGAATATGGTTATTACCAAACAGCCCCACGAAGCGGCACAGTTTTCGTTAACATTGATACAGTTCAAGAACACACTCGATGTCTTAAACATATTTTCGACGATTAGTGACACATTCCACCAAGTTTAATTTATTAGGTCGGGCATGGTATTATTACCAGACATGTACCGAATATGGTTATCCAGGAAAGCTGTTGAAATCGAAATCTGAAGGACATTAACTATTGTAGTCCATAAATTGATCCTATTGTACAGTAATTGTTGGAATGGTTTCAGATTAGGGTATTCAACATATTGTTCAAAAGTTATTACTTTAAAAAATTCATTAACAACTAATTAACTCTACACATGTCTTATACATAATTGAAAACTTATTATAATTCAATGCATAAGAAATTATGATTACGCTAAAAACATATATTATGTAAATACCATGGCAGTTTATTCTGCATTCTTTTGCAAGTTATACATTCATATCTTATTACATTGAGTTCAGTCTTATTTCCTCTCCGGTATGCACTTAAAAACTATTCTTATATATATTAATAGTACTCTTTACCCTTGATATTATAAAATAATGCTATTTTGAACATTGAAACACTACTATTGACTGAAGATTAAATCGTAAATAAATAACTATATTATTATTATATTTAGGGGTCATGCATGTTACATATTATTAGCGTGAGTTTAATTTTCTTTTCAATTTCTAAGTAAGCCTATAATTGTTACAATAACCTTCATTTTGTTATACAAATATACACAGAAGAAACAAATTTGCGATGTTTGTCTGAGGTAATGTAATATCACACTTAACGAGACATATGGACCCTTTTTATCGGGACATTTTGTTCATCGATTTTTTCCTTATAGGCCAAACCGATTTAAAAGATGGTTCTTTCCTTTAAGATGATAATGATGATATTAGCAGTGGCGCCATATTTAATTTGATTCCCTTGCAAGTCTGTTACTACAACATCCAAAAGAATACATTCTTTTTATTATTGGCTGATCCTGAAAAATAATAAAAAATGTACCTTTTAGTTATCTATAAAAGTACTAATTGTTATTCATCTGTTTCTCAGGGCATTATTGAAAGTCTGGTGGAAATTATTGACTTTTTATGATTAAATCATTTATACTGAAAAACTAAAAGCGGAAATGTAGTGCCTCAGTATTGTTTTTGACCTTTCACCTATAGATTAAACGAAATGTTGAATATTGGAACAAAATGTTGAATATAGAAACGAAAATTTGAAGGTGTCTTTAATTAACTGTATCAAAATATATAAAATGGATATTGTAAATATAATGTGAAAAAAACTTTTCAATTTAAAACGTACGTATTAGTTATTTTTATATAAAAAAGTACCAACCTTTTTGTAAATTTCCACTCGGCCCAATACAAAAATCGTGAATTTTCAGTCAATAAACGTCTGAACACTATCGAAACGGTCACGGAACTAGAACTAGCATTGATATAATTCGATGCTTAAGTCTGTTATTTCTTTTGAAAGTTTTGATACGCTGACCTTTAGTCGATAATGTATGCTAATGCTGTCACCCACGTTCACGAAACTATAGTGGAGCTAAGCACTACACTTCACCAATTAGAAACACCGATTATTGTTTTCGAGTTGACAGGTATAGCTATTATTCATTAAGAATTTCCCATTGATTGTTACTATTTTCAAATGATGCGCATCATGTATATTTTTGATTACTGTACACGAAAAAATTATTGCCATTTTTCTACAAGAGATATTCACATGTTGTTAAGAAAATTGTAGCTATATAGATAATACAATTTGATAGATCAGCATAGTAATTATCCCTTTGTAGAAGTGGTAACAATTTCGAATGTATTTTTTTGCCTTTGTTCTAAATTTAAACTCATATGGACCATTATTATTGGCATCATTATAATAATGCATTTTATTCAAAATCATGTCAACTTTTGCTTACTTCGATTTTAGTCATTATAGTGTTATTTAGTTAATTAAACCCAGAACGATAAAATACAAAAATCGATGTTTTGAATTGTGGTTCTCAGACATATTCACAATTGCAGAGTAAAATCGTAGCATATTAGCTTTCAAGGTTGATAATTTTTGAGGATTTTTGATTTTATGATTGATATACATAAAACCATTAGTTTTAGATACTATATTTTCATTACGATAGTAACTTTTTGAGTACTAAGTGAGGTCACAATTGTTCCGTACGTTTCTAAAAATACTTCAATACATTCATAGTAAAACTGGTCCTTGTATATTGCAAATTTTTGTAAAACGAGTTTACTAATGTCTAATGATATAAATAGAGCATATGACGTAATCAATTATTAAGTTTTGCAGATGTCAGTATTGGCCTCAGCTTACTCATGTTCGTTCACTATCAGTCTGTTTAACTATTACGAGAATATGGGACTTTTTGCCCTCTTCTTGACTTTTAGACAATGGACCTTAAAATTAGGCATAATTGAAAAAGTTTCTACAATTTTTTGACAGAAAATTATCAATAGTTCAGTTGGTAATTATTTGGCCTGTATATATCCTATTCCCCAGTGCGGCCAAAACGTGGGTAAAAGGTACCTCTGCCCAGCATTACGCACCGTGCTATTTCGTCTAGAGAAAGGGAACTTTTTATCCACGATCTGGCTGAACTGCTATTTTCATTGGTAGATGGGAAAGTAAAGACGGAAAATTAAACTTATTTAAGTATCATTATACGTATATTTTAATAACAATAATAAGAACATAGAGTGTGTACGCATTGTGTAGTATAGTGACAAGTATTTTACAAAACTATTAATCTAATGTATTTAATGATATAAACTTGATAATAATAATAATATTAAAGAGATCCGGTGGCCTAGAGCCTGTAATTTTGATGAGTTTCAATTCTGTCATGTGACGTGTAGAAAAAAGTCGTTTTGAGATAAATGAGCTTTAAGTTTGAAGTAAGTATTATTTACTTTTGTATCTGCTTTTGCACTGACCTGCAGAACTTGAAATATCTTTAATATCATGGCAAAAATTTAATAGTAGAGTATTAAAAGATAATACTTTTTAAATGTCGAAGAAAAAAAATCGATTTCGAGAAAATTCGAGACCACCAGACTCTACTAATACGTCAATCAGCTCATTAATTACTTAAATGATCACGCCAGCAATATTTTCTTACAGCCTAATTATTTTTCTTATTGAAAAATAATTAGGCTATTTGATGTTTATTTATTTATTTTGATGTTTGCCTCTCATTTCTTGCATTTTGTTACGAATAGTGTTCAAAATCAGCTGCAAATCAAATTCAACCCAATTTTGTTCAGCCGCATGTTTTTTAACATAATCCAATAAAACTGTTCTTGCATGTTCATCTAGACCGGGCCTTACACTTGTTCCCTCCAAGTCAAATGCATTGGGTTTTTTTCCAGTTAAAGAACATATCGACTAGGAAAGCCATTGTGAAGTAGACATATTGCAATTGTTCACCAGACGAAAAAAAATTAATAGTGTCTGACCTATCCATGATATTGCTACCATTTTGAAAATATATTTATTTAACTGCCAGTACCATTTGCAATGTAAATTTTTATCCAAAGTTATATATACGTGTTTGGCTCAGTTACAGCAAAAGTTTTTAAATCAACTTTAAAACGCTGTAATAAGGAAGAAAAATGTAAAATATTATCAATTTACAGGGGTAAATATTGATGCAGGAAATTTATGTATTTGGTACTTTTATTGCATTCAGATGTAAGATTAGTTTATATTATGATTAGATCTAGAAATGCAGTGGGTCATTTGGTAATGTAATGTTTGGTTGAAATAAAATGTCGTAAATGGTAAAAAAAACCAAAACTGTAGGTTCCCTAAACTTGCTGTAAGTAAACGAATGTAAAAATCACACGCCGCTGAAAAGGAGCGTTAAGTTTTTAAATGGGAAGAAGTAAGTATTTCTAAAGAAAAAAGATTTCCTTTTACAGTGAGTGCAAAATGTCTGAAATGACTAGATTTTGGCCTACATACAGTTTAATCTTGCTAAAAATAATATAAGTACGGGCGTTCTCAACGGGTAAAAATTTTTTTTCATCGTAGAGCACAGACCCAGTCATTCGACGCAAGGCTTTTTTTGATTCTAATGGCAGGAAAAAGTCACTTTAGGTATTTTGTCTACTTACAGCAAATATGCTTTCCTACGTCGATATACTTAATGCGTTCTCGGTAAAAATTTCCAGTAACAACGATCGCGCAAGGGTTTTGCTGTCTCTCGACGTTATTTTAATGTTGCTTAGTTGAATGGCGTCTATGTACACCCGTGAATGTGGTAGGAGTTCATCAACACCACTTTTCTTTTCCCGATGCTTTAGGGTCCATCTTGAGTCATTCGGATCGTACTCTGGTGGTAAAGTAAACTTGCGCGCTTGGCCACGGATCTTATTTAGTGGATTATTATTTTTAACTTCTGTACCGTCACTATTCTGTTTTTTCTCTTCCTTTTTTCGAGCATCATTTTGTACTTTTGATCCGGTTGCTTTATCTGAATTATTTTCATTTATATTTACTTTCATCATAATATTTTCTAATTCTTTGACTGCAGGCTCTAGATCACCAATATCAGGACCAGCACAGACTTCATTCGTTAGCTCAATAAACTGTTTTATGATCTTACAATTTTCCGCAAACGCAAGATGCATTTTCTCTAACATTAATTGGTTTTTTTCATACTTACTATGAAGTTCTTCCAATGTTTCTTTGAAATTATCACCAAAGATTGATCGTAGAGCCAATATAATTGTCCATTTCTTCATAAGGTTATTTTCTGATGGTTATTTTCTTGGTTGTTGTTAGTTTTATCGCTTTCTTCAACACATTGGCTAGTTTTTGGAAGACTCTCTTTTGTGGCTTGATCTGGCAAACTAACGGTATTATTGCCTGATAAAGATATTCTGAGTGACTGTCTTGTTAAATATCTTCTGGCTTGGGGGGAAGCATCGGCAGTTCCAACTTTGCTTTCCTTTCGGCCTATTCTTCCTTCGGCATTAGTTAAGTCAAGTTGCTTTAGTATTTCTTTACTCACTGGTTCTGCATCACTGTTTAGAGTTGAAGTTGTACGGACTTTGTTTGTTTTTGAGCTCGATTGTGATTCGAGTTCTTTCTTGTCCGATGTTGATGGTACATCTGGAATGCAATTTTTAATTATTAGCGACCCAATCGAAAGAAATCCTTTTCAATGTCAACAGAATACTATATACCTTCGACTATTTTCGTGCTGCTCTGCTCTTGATCGCATATTTTATTCAGTATCTTGATGTAGTTTCTTGCGTCTTTATAGGACTCTATAAAAAGAAAAGACAATTTGGCAGCCGAAATGGAAGTAAATTTCAGAATTAATAAAAAAATAAGTACTAGGATTGTACAAAAAAAAAACTATAAAATCTTCTAAAAATAAAACTATATATTATGTAAATATACAAGCATGCATATATCTACAATATGTTTTTTGAACAATGTTTTTTCTGACTCAGCTCGCCAAGTTCAGTCGGAATATAGCAAAATTTTTCAAAAGTTCGATCAAAACTCGATTTTCGAAAAACAGGGGTAAAACAATAACTTCTCGATTTTCAAAATTTTTAATTTTCTTAGCGGGAAGTTGATTAATAATTTCAAGTACCCAAGCCACGTCTCATTACCCTTTTAGACTGGTATTATTGACAGAGAAGTATCACCAGTTCAGAATTAGAATAGAGACTTAAAGTCAATGGCAGCAAATAGTTTTTTGCAAACTTAGCGGAGGTTGAACTGTTTGCAAAATTGTATCAGATACTATCTGCTCGCTACCCAAAAAAGAGGCCTTACAGTGAACACATAAAACGATAATTGTTACAACTTACTTACCTGTACTGTATTTTATGTTAGCCAAAAAAACTGTCCAGTTTTCTGAGAATTCTTGTTTCTTAACACGTTTTTTTACTTCTGATAGTACTTCAACGGGAAATTTAACAAGAGTTGGACCATCTGATGTTTCACGTAACCTTATCCAAGAATTCGGAACGCAAACATATTTTTCAGGATCCTTGTATGGAGGTTCCAATAACTCAATCACATGAAACTTAAACTCTTTCTGTTTACTCATCTGAAAATAAATCGTTAAATTAATCGAATTTATTTATTTATTTTTTTATTTATTTACACGTTGCAAAAAAAAGAATGAAACACAATACAAAATAATTATAAGGGATGCAACGGGCGGCCTTATCGCTAATAAGCGATCTCTTCCAGGCAACCCTAGTTAAAGAGAAAAACTAAAAAAAAAAAAGATACATGATGCGTGCGAGAAGTGCAGAACCGAATGTTATATAAAAAAAAATATATATATAGTACCTTAATCTAAAGTAATACAAAAATTACTAACAGACTAAAAACTTATAAGCTAATCTTACAAATACATGAACAGCGAATAGTGATGTAAAAGGAAACATAAGATTTATATACAAGTCACGATTGATCAGGATAGGATAAGGTTAAGAAATGATTATACAGAAGAGTTTTAAAAGATGACAGAGAGGTAGCCAATCGTACGGAGTCGGGCAGCGTATTCCACAACTTAATGGCGGAGATCGTAAATGAATTGCCTAAGAAGGATGAAGTGTGAGATGGAATTTCCAATAAACATCTATTAGAAGAGCGTAACATATAGTTAGAAGGACCTAAGAATTTGAAGTGATATTTGAGATAAGAAGGGGTTTTCGGATTGAAAAGAATTGAGTATAGAAGTTGAAGAAGATGAGCGTGACGTCTGAATCGAATTTTTATACGTTTTATATTTATCACCGCTATGACGGCCGTCATGCAAATGACAGCACCGCTATTTGACGTTACGGTGACACTCATCGTGAGTTATATACATATTTACAATGCAAATAAAATTCAAAATTCAAAAATCATTTATTCACGTAGGTAACACAATGTACACTTGTGATTCGTCATTAAAGAAATAAATATTAATGCTTCTAATTTTACATTTACTGCCAGTTCTCAGTTCTCAAATCAAGGGCGTAGAACGGAAGAGAAGAACTGGCAGTAAACTCTCCGCCACTCTTTTTAATCGCCATGTTTTTTTTTTTTTTTTACACGTTTGTAAGGAGCTGCAACCATTACACCATGTTCCACATGACATTTTAAGTAATTAATAATAATAACATAAATAAAAACAAAGACTTGTCCCCTATCAGCAGGAGGCATGGTGAAATAGGAGCACGCACTTACATTCTCGTGGGAACAACACGCAAACACATAGTCGAAATAATTAACATCACCGCATACACGAATTCAAGTACGACCAGTCACCACAAGCAGCACCCGTTCACGAGTATGACGCATGGCCAGCCATCGGCCCCCTCGCCATATTTTAGGGAGAGAGACAACCCGACGCATGGACGCCGCCACAAGCAATGACATTTAAGCGAGCATGACGATCCTTGAAATGTGGACTTGGCTACATAAGAAAATAATAATAATACTGAAATAATTGGATACCACATGGATCACGGTTTGTTCCCACTTTACATTAAAACAGTCGTGGATGTTGACGATCGCCCCAGAGTCTGGAAATGCAGCCGAGAGATTCAGTCGTGTTACCTATAATATATACTGGAGCAACTCATATCCAAGCACTAGGATCGTTTAAATATTCATTTATATTATAATAAGCCTTAGCAAGCAGTTTTACTTTAATGTACGATTTAAATTTATTTATTGACAACGCTTGTATCTCACTAGGGATTTTGTTGAAAAAACGTATACAATTGCCTTGGAAAGAATTACTCGTTTTATGCAGCCTTCTGGTTGGTGCGCTAATTTTGTCTTTATTACGAGTACTATAATTATGGAAGCTACTATTCTTTTTAAAGATATCTATATTTTTCCGCACATACAAAATATTCTCATAAATGTATTGACTTGCCAGAGTCAAAATATGTAATTCCTTAAATTTGCTTCGGACCGACTCCCGTGGGGACAACCCACAGATCGCTCTTATAGCCCGCTTTTGCACTACAAACATCGATTTAATGTCAGCTGCATTACCCCACAAAATAACACCATATGACATTATACTATGAAAATAGCTGAAATAAACAAGCTTTGCTGCGTTCTCATCCGTAATATTATTTACACTAGCAGCAATAATGGAAAATTTATCACTGCGATTATTGATGGGTATGTGAACAAAGGGCACACCTCCTCTAAGAATTAGTGCAACTCCACCATACCCATCTGTTCTGTCTTCTCTAAGACAGCTATGTCCTGGAATTCTAAAATTGAATCCGGGACTCTTGAAGAGAGACGACAAATGGTTTGTAATTATTCAATAAAAAAATTAGGTCACTTTTTTACTATTAATGCTCCGGCAATTCCATTAAATCACCAGAGACTGGTTTCGTGTTTAAAAATGTGATGGCATCCTGAAATGTTTCAAATTGTAGGGACAACATGTTCCTTCCAATTTTTTTGATGCTTCCGTCTACAATACGTTTTTTAATGAAAAATCCAAATTGTACTGGGTGAATAGATCCGGTTTGATCTGTTTGTAAAAAAATTTGGACATGCACAACATAAGGCGACCTAGCAGCGCGAGGGTACTTGAAATATTATTAGAGTGAGCAGTCTCGTTATGTTGGATTTCAGTGCCTTTATCATCAGACTCAAGCACTTTAGGAATAACATTGTCTTTTAAATTATTAGGGGAAATTTGGCAATTATTTGGTTTTTAACTGAAATTCTCTTTCTTTTAACGGATTTCGTGCTTTCCGAACAGTCTGTATCTATAATGCAACCTTCCGTTTCCGTTCCCGACGCATCGATTGTGACTACATGAGCCATCGAAGGGATGTCCCTCCAGGGTCTTCGGGCTCCAACATGGACGCCAAGAGAAAAGTCCTATCTACATATAATCCAATGAAATTACTTACCAGGCGAAGAAAACAAACTAAAAATATAAATAATCAACAATAACTACTAATATACTTATATACACTTTACAACTTAACTGATCCTGTAATATTAAATTTTCAAAAGTTTAGCCAAAAAAAAGGAGCCCGCCTATTTCAACACTTCCCGCCCTTTTTTTTCCAGACTTGGTTATCATACAAAAAAATTTGGTACACTAAGGCCCTTTCTCCACTACTTCGGTCCGGGAATCAGTCATGAGAAAAATATCGGAAGGCCGGATTGCGCTTCTCCACTTTATCCGACAATAATCGATGAGGAAAAGTAAAATTCCTTGGCTTTACGATTCACAATGAGTCCTGCCTTTTATCGCCAACAACTTTTAGCTATATGGAAGTATGTCCAAGTAAAAGAATGTACTATTATCTAGAAGAATAGTAACTGGAAACATTAGTATTCATGAGTGCCAAAATTGTTTTCCAGTGTTGTAAAACTAAATATTTAAACTAAAAAGCTACTTGCTAATAATTTCTGTAATAAAATCAACTTATTAAAATTAATTATAAATATTATAATATACGTATAATACTGTATTATAATGTAAGTTTAGTTTTCAATATTGTAATGTTATCTGTAACTGTGTTTTATGTCAATTAACTGTAAATCATTATTGTTTATAATTATTAAAGAATTTTTTAAAAGTCTATTTTATTTATACTATACGTCATAACTAGTCCAGGAAAAAAATAGTATTTTTACTGAGTCCTTTAGTATAAATTATGTTCTTGTAACAAGTAATTGTTGTAGATATATGAAAACAACAAATCTACCTAGATTCTTGTATATTTATCATGCAACACGTATATTAACTAAAACCCATATACTGTTTATTTATTAATAAAACGTTCTAAATTCTGAATATTTTATTTCCCTGGCAAATTTATTACGCTTTTTTATCTTAAAATATGATAATCTACTTAATAAATAGTTCACTAATACTATGGTATAAAAATATAAATAAATAGCAATATAATTTCATTTGGTCCAGGTTATCCAGATTTTTTCAAATTAAAGAAACTATAAATAAACCTGTGAATAATAATTTATAACCTCTTGGATACTTGGATCGATAAAACATTGCGTTCCGATCTAGCAAATTATCGGATCGTTAAAAACCAGATGCCGGAGTAGTGGAGAAGTACGTACGGACTGTTGTGAGTTTCTAAATCGGATCGGTAATTAACGTTTGCCGGACTGGAGCAGTGGAGAAAGGGCCTAAGTACGTTCAGAAACTGTTTACATTAGTTTTTAAATTTTGAACAAAATATTTTTCGATCATTAAAAGTCTCAACGATTATTTGTTTTTATTTTACTTCATAATATCTTCTTGTAAAAAAATAATTTCTTTTTTTAAATAGCCTATCGAACGTGGACGCGGCGCAATTCTTATTACAGTAAAACCTTTTTTGTTCGAATTAAATTATACACAGCACCAATTGTTAAAATAGCTTACGTTTAGATGCCACCTTTGTGTCTGCTGTCCAAAAATTGAGTTGATTCCCACAATATGGCTTGATAAAGTTTAGTAAACACTGTTTTCACTGTTTGACCTTCTCTCAAAAAAATTGATAGGGAAAAATATTCGTAATGTTTACGTCGCGACTCGCGATACGTCTGTTCAGACTTCAGTTGTTCACGCACGACAACTGACAAGGATCACAGAACACTATTACTTCTAGCGAAGAAGAACAACAACTTCATAGTACTATCGTATGGCGCGAGAATTTAAAATGGTACGCAAGTACAGAATTTTAAGGAATAATTTCATGTAGAGAAATAAAACAAGGGGAGGGTACATGGGTAACATTTATATTGAAATACAATAATTAAAAACAAAAAGTCTTATTGTATATTCTTATTAACAAAGTATTTATTTGTTAATAAGTATATTTATATATTAAGTTGCAATAAAATTAATACATTTTTTATAATTTAATGAAATGATTGAATATTTATCGATTTACACTTTTACATACATCATCACAACTTAATATTATATGTTTTTTAATATATTTATTTTCCACTTCCATGATTTTGTGGACGCTTCTTCCATAAATTTATAATTTTTTATTTTACAAAATCTTTTTAAACATAATAACAATGTACTTTTATAATTGTTTCAATATTTACTGCGTAATGTTCTTCACATTTACACATTAGCCAATCTTTGTGCAAATTTTAAGTTAATAAAGTATATAAATTCATTTAAATTTTATCTGAGTGACTTTGATCTTTTAGATAATTATTTACCAAATTTGCAGCCTTTTCAACCATTTTACAACTGTACTGAATGTAATTTAAACTACACCTAACACCGTCATATTCTTTGAATCATATAAACAAATGACATATCTCAGTGTTCTGATCTGCTAGCATAATAATTTTACAAAGAGTACAGTGCCAGAGGTCGTCAGCATGTTATGATTCACAACGCTCCACCTAAGGATAATAAACTCTGAAAATAGCCTGCAAATTGTATTTCCCATGTCCAGGAATTTGATGAGTATTTATTTATTTTATGCACCAACAAAGTAGACTCTAATACAAGTAATGTAACACAAACACTAACACAAGCCAAGTGCTACCCTAATTATAGGCGCATACCACATTCTAAATTTTTAAAAGTACATTAAAAGAAGAAAAAATTTAGTTAAGATAAACCAAAATAAAAATATTACAAAATTAATTGAATTAATTGAATAACCCCGATAAAATCTTAATGAGTAATGCTGAGAGCTGAGAGCTGAGCCGCTAACTTTTTGAAAATTGATGGGGAGTTTGAAAACATATCTATTTGGGGGAATTCACGACCCCCCCATTGCGATCCAATACCACCAACAATTTCAACGCTATGAATTAAATTATAACTCCTTAAAGATCTATTTAATGGAGCATTCTGACCCAGATTTGATTTTGCAAACTTAATTCTGAAAGGAGGCTTTGCAAATCGTTGCAGCTTTTTAGGAACAGAAATGTTTACTCTGGACAAGATATCAGGGGTATCCAAAAAAAAGTACTTGAGTGATTAGTAAATTTATTTTATTCGGTTTCAAAAAGGTGGTTTTTTAATTGAGGTAGTATCTAAAATATTCTCGTCGAACTGATAGCATTCTTCTTCAAGTCGGTTACAAATACGTTTCACACTTTTGATGGACACACTTTGAAATATAACGAGTATATTCGTAAGACTGAACTATTTGTCATTAAAAAATAGCCAAGATTCATTTCTCGCACATGTCGCTCTAAGTATTTGGCATCTTTATAATGCTCATAATTGTTTTGCTGTGATATCTAACGGGTGATTATGGTTTGTTTAGATGTGTGGCACTCGCGTAAAACACAATGTATTGGCATTATTTATCCTCGTCTGATATGAAGGTAGATTAATTTCAACGGGGCCGAGCAAAAAGGAAAGTTTCAATATTGTTACTTACTACAGTAATTTACTCTAAGAAACTATATCATAAAGGTTATCTTTACATTAAATAAAATGAAGTTCCTCACTCGTATCTATCGGTCTGTATGACCCAGATTAATTCAAGAATTACCAACCCGATTTTGGTAGGTACGATTTTCACTAAATACGTAAAATAATACAATTGAAAAGGAAGGAAAAATTATGGGAAATACGTTACTTTAAATGAATTAAATTTTCCCAAAAACAGTTTTAGTCACTTTTACGTAAGCGGTTTCGATTGTTCCTCGTTGTACCTACATTACTATCAGCGTTTACAAACTATATATATAAGTAATGTTAAGTTAGACCTCAGTCAACAAATATCAGTCTTGTTGCATTATCGGCAGAACATTAGTCGTTAAAAATGTATCGGTTTTTGCTTTTCTTAAGTTTGTTTTCCTACGCAGCGTCGAAGTGTTAGTATCAAACTTTGAATAAAAAAATAGTACTGTCCATATGGAATGTACTAAAATGATGTTTTTTGGGTGATATTCAAATTTTGAATTCTAAACACTTGTTCTGTTTTAGCTGAGCTGTCATGTAGACATATTCGCGAATTCGTTGATAGGCATAATTATTGGAGGTTGAAATTGGCGAAGGGTGAAATACCTAATCAACCGGCGGCATCGGAAATGAAGTATATTGTAAGCTTTATCTTAAGTAAATGTAATCATAATAACAGTGAAAATAAATATGTAACAGTCAATATTTTTTCTAGATTTGGGACGAGGAGTTGGCAGCAAAAGCAGCTGAATGGGCCTCCAATAATCAATATACCCATAACCCGGATAAAACTGTCGGTGAGTTATTTTATGTGGAACATAGCTTTTGGATAATATAATAACTGTGTGTAGGCATAGCGGTTTCAACATGTGACTTTCATGCCTGACATCGTAGGTTCAAACCCCGGTGAAAGAATCAATCGATAGGAAACAGGCATGCCTTAGACCCAAAAAAGTCGACGGTGTATGTCTGGCACAGAAGGCTGGTTACCTATTTTAATATAATAAATAAAAATATTTATTTTAATTAGAAAAAACAAATGATCACGAAGCATATACAGAAATTCAAAAAAGGCAAAAGACCTAAAATAAAATAATTAAACGGTAGTTTTTCATGTAATAATAGTAAATTACAATCAAGCCAAATGCGCCGCTTTAATTAGCGTGTTTTTCCCGTTTTTAATTTTGGGATAGTTCCCAAGATGTTCTTTTAAATTGCATTAAGAAGTATACTGATGTAATGTGCATGAAATGTTAGAGCAATGCATTTCATTTCACAGACTAATGTATCTAAATACCTAATATATTGGACTACTGTATCTGTTTCCTTGATAACTTTTCTTTATAAACGTTAGCCTGGAAAAAAAGGCGATTTTTGGATCTAAGATACGGTCTAGACTTTGTCTTACGCAACATATAAGTTTTGTTTAGGAATAACGAAACTTATATGTTTGTATAAATTCCTTAGACATGCGTATGAAGAGAGATAGATAAATATGCAGTATTTGTTGCACACAGAGATTTTAATAGGATTTTTAAAATGAATTAATATTGAAGATGTTACGTCTATACCAAAGCAATATATCTAAAATATATTTTTTTCATTATATATTAAGTAACACATTTAATAACTGTTGATTCAAACCTTATTGAATCAACGACAATTTCTCACCATATAATTTAATGTTCTAGGTTCATATCGCTTTACTACCGGTGAAAATATATTCTGGACAGAATCCACGGATCAGTCATACAAATTTGAACCGAGAAGTGCAGTGGATTCCTGGTTCAGTGAACACAAAGACTTCAACTATGGACCTGTGCAATCTTGGCAATTTCTGCCTTTTGCTAAGAAGATTGGTCATTACACACAGGTGAGTGAAGATTGGACAATCATTTCTTCCTTTTGGAATGGTTTTGGTGCTATAGTGAAGCCGAACTGGTGATAATTAATATGAATAATTATACCCAATAACTGTCTCCAATATTTACCTATACATGGCACCCTCGAAATACGTAAAGCTCTTCTTTTAATGAAACTTGTTCCTGTTAGTTAAAGTTAAAATAATCAATATGACTAAGTTTCATAAAAGTGAACAAACAAAACAAAGTATATACACTAATACGAATTTTTGAATTTTTTATTCAATTTCAATACCTACAGATCAAACTCATAATCTCAACTTTTTAAGTCGGTTAGTAATAATAAGTAACAACCACATCGCGTACGAGATTGAATTGTATGTTAGTGCATAATTTATTTTATTTTTATTTATGCACTAAAATATAGAAATTTTATTTTTATTTCAGGTGGCATGGTCCGACTCAATTTATTTAGGCTGTGGGGTCTCTAAAGCATATAGAAATGGATGGGTTTATTACACCGTTGTATGCAACTATGGACCGACGTAAGTAGTCAAAAAAATGTTTAAACCCTTTTAAACTGATTTAAATGATACGATAAAAACTAAAAATTCTAAAAACTAAATTATATGATATAAACACGAATTTAACCTAATTGGACGCCCCGAATATAGAACGGTTGGCGATAAAGTGGTGACTGAACTGACAGCTGAGTAACTAAGATAGTTAATTCGCGATTGAATCCGTTAATAAAGCTTTATTTAATTGTGTTGGACTCGCCAAAACCAATGAATACATTATGTTGAGTTATGAGTTCATAATGACCCAACAACTCCGGTTGATATGTCATGTGCAATAAACACTTATCCACGGAGCTAATTTTTGTATTACATTTATAACTACGGTCTTATATTTATGTGCTGTATATTTAAAGCGTAGACAGTACAGATTTTATATTATATTTTAAATAACTAGAATTTACTCGCGCGTTCAAATGATTTTTGGGAGTGTAATTAACATGTGTGTAAAATCGACATTATTTACAAGTTAATATTTTTGACTTCTCTTTGACATACGCGGCATTTCATAAGACAGATAAAAAACAAGATAATCTGGATCTTTGCATCCAACAAAATTTTGCAGAAGTTAACTTAACCGCGTTAATATGGCAACTATGGTATTCTGTTACATTGAACAAGTTTTTTTAATGTCTTAAATTTACGTTTATATCGGCTGAAGAGGTTTTATTTAATTTTTTGTCTCTGGTCTACATTTATTTTCGTTAATCAAAAATTTCTAAAAATAGCAAATTAGTTTTGTCACTAATATAAGGTATCTTTTACAATCTGATTTTCTCACTTAGCATAAATTAAATACACCTGTTTGTAATTGTTTTGTTTACAGTGGAAATAACATGGGTTGGACCCCCTATCCCGCCGGAAGGCCGAGTGGCCAGCTCGTATGTGCCAACGATTGCAGTAGATTCTACGGGTACAAGTGTAGCAATCTATTTTAATTTAATGTATGCTATTGGTTTCAATTATATTTATTCCTAATTCTATATTTTTTTAATTATTCCGTATGCGATATAATTCTGCGTTAAGCTTTATAGATCTTTGTTGAATATTCTTATGACAATCTTTTAACAAAACTACGTTGTCAAACTAATGGTAGATATATTAAAATCAAGGCTTAATTACTTTCTTTCATTTGATATCTACCGTCACATTTTATCATATTTAAGTTAAGTATATAAATCAAGGAAGGTTTTAAGGAATTTTATAATTTCCAAGTTTATTTTGCAAGATGGACAAAAACGCGTTAAATATTTAGTTTTTACAAGATTTAGGTATGTGTATTTCGAATGTACTTTATCATAACGTTAATCGTATTATCATAATCTCAATTATACGATATCAATATCAGATAACGTGTCATAATTATTTAGGCTTTATAGTTCTTTGACAATAATTGAAATGGTAAGTTTAATTTTGTGTTTTACTTTGCAATTAAATATAGTTGATCAGACTGTAAACTTAAGTGATATTCCAATGAGGTCTTCTAGTGATCCTATTTATATTTCTAACGTAAGAAACGAATTTAAATAGATATGAATATATATAGGCTGAGGTTGGTTCAAACATTAAAGTTTTTTTAATTTTAAATTCCAATACGGGGTAAATAAAGTAACAAAATCCAAATTTTTGATGGCGCACAAAAATTTTCTAGTTTCAGATTCTCTTTATACCCATATTATGCGTAATATCGTCCACATGTGCCGAGGAAATGATACTAGACCCACCACTCCGGGTAGATCTTTCATCTCCTGCAGATGTTCAGTTCTTAACACCATCGAACGTGAAGACTGAATGGATCGACATGCCTATAGACCACTTTGATCCACAGAATACTGACACTTATAGAATGGTACGGTTTATATAATACTTTGCTCATTACTCGAATTTTTAAACTAATTCACCAGTAGGAAAGTGATGTCAGAAATTGCTCTACCAAAATTTATTCTAATCTACTGGCGAGCTTTGAGTTTTCTCTCATGTGTATATATTTTTTTATTTCAGCGCTTTATGTTCAATGATGAATTTTTTGGCGGCGATGGCTCACCGCTTTTCATTCTTGTGGGAGGGGAATGGGACATCGTTGAAGGCTGGTTACGAGCTGGGAACATGTATCTTACAGCGCAGGAAAACAAAGGTTACATGTTCTATACAGAACATAGATATTATGGAGAGTCGCTTCCATACCAGTATGTATCTGTTTGAAGTTATTGTACAGGGTGTTGAATCTCGTCGTGTAAGGGTGGTGTGAGCTAATTGGTCCTAAGGTCGTGCTCTAAAAACCTGACCTAAGTTCGTTGGTTACAAACATCAGACAACTGGCATTTCTTAGACTATGACGTGCGCCGACTGCCAACTCACTTGGTGGATTTAATCTAAATTCTAGGGCAATGGAAGCTGATCATGTGCTTGTCTACGAAGACAAATTACCAACGAAACAAATCTCAGCCCTCTGTGCTTTGTTATGAACATAGTGAACATATATGTTCTTATATGGCAGGACGCCCCTCAGAAAGTTAATTTGATGTCGCTGGGGTAATTAAAATTAATCGAAAGTACCTAGATTCGGTTTAGGATTTTGATAAATAAAGATAGCGATCTTCCTAGCTTCATATCTCTGAGCTTATTACAAAAAAAAAACTGGAAACGCACCAGTAGAATAGTTAATCATAATTATTTGGGGTTTTCAGAAATTTCACAACTGAAAACCTACGCTTTTTAAATGTAGACCAAGCATTGGCTGACTTGGCATATTTTATACGTGAAATGAAAAGTCATCCACGGTTTGCTGAAAGTAAAGTGATTTTATTCGGTGGGTCATACGCAGCTAACATGGTTATTTGGTTCAAACAGAGGTATCCACATTTGGTCGAAGGCGGTGTCGGATCCAGTGGTCCAATTTTAGCCAAAGTAGATTTTACAGGTAACAGTTTTTTTTTCAAATTGATACAAATATTAATATGTGTATTGTAAAACTAATATTCGAGGTTTGCGTAATTTTATTCGGTGTTCCTAGCCAAGCTTGTTTCACAGATATAATAATAATAATTAGCCTTTTTATTTCCTGTTTTACAATAGTTGGTAGTTGCTATATTACAGACCAGGAAAGCTCAGAACAGAGCAGAGTGGAGAGAAATGGAGGAGGCCTTTGCCAAAGTTGGGCAAACAGATGGGTTGTCGGTGTCACCGACTCACTAGTGTTATTAGTTTAAGTTAAAAATTATGTAATTATTTTCTATCTGATTAAAGGCTTTATTATTATTATTATTATATTACAGTCACCAAAAATATTGATTTTATTTATTAGCTTAGATTATGATAGTATTATAAATATATATTATTTACTTATGAATTAACAGGAACCCCGGTTGGGTAAAGGCCTCCTCCAAAGATGCCCATTTTTGTCGGTCCTGTGCTATGGAGTGCCAGTTTTTGCCAGCTGATCTTTTCAGGTCATCTTCCCAGCGGTCTAAGGGTCTCCCCTTCCGCCTCTTGCCTGGTGGTCCTTACCATTTGGGTAACTCGTTTGGTCCACTTTCTGCTAGACATTCTTGCTACATGGCCAGCCCAATGCCATTTCAGTTTTTGAGGAAAAGTTATTTCACAGATATATATTTCCTTTATTTTTCCAGGATATTTAGAGGTGGTTCATCGAGCGTTTCAATCGGAATGCGGTGATCAAATGATAGCGACAATCAGACAGGGTATAATTGACACTGTAGCTTCCATGTCCACTGAGGAAGGTAGACGAAATTTGGAAAGGGCATACAGGTGAATTATATTTAAATTTAATTTTGCAATTATTTTATTATGTGGTTACAAGTAGATATAAATATTTCACAGCATAGATCTGCTCCTAACTACTCTAACATAGTTGTATAATGTATGTTAACCATATTTACGATAATTTTGTCAAGAATATAAGTAATACGGTTTCGTTTCTCCTTATGGGTTTTTCATACAATTTGTATTCATTATAAATTATATAAATGTTTATTAATAATTCGGTTTTGTTTAGTACTGCACACAGCTTACTACAAAATTTATTCTACTTAACTAACTATTAAATAATTATAACTTCGTAAACTATTAAATAATAATACAGTGATGATAAAGGGTATGGCATCAGATTGCATCCGTTTCTTGTTTATTTTTATACTTATTATAGACAAATAGGTGATCAGCCTTCTGTGTCTCTTCCATTTTACATATTCTTCGTATCTGTACCCTTACCCTGGCTGTACCATACCATTTTTCATACCATGTTTAGTTTAGCTGTTATATTTAAATTATCTTTTTTTACAGATTGTGCAGACCGCTTAACTATGACAATGAATTCGAGCTGGGATATTTTTCAGGGTTTATAAGTTGGACATTTTCCGGATCCGTACAACAAGCGCGCCCGGGAACTCTTCGGTCAATTTGCAACAATTTTGATTCTTACGGTATGATTTATGTTATTGTAAATACTATAGGCAAGTCAGTCAGTTGATGATTTTAAAGTGTACCCAATAATGATTATCTCCTCGCATGGATTTTTTTTATATGATGTGAAATAAAAAGGCCAATAACCACGACGTTTTTGATCATACTATTCAACATTTTTAGGAGTATTATTAAGCAACTAACTGGTAATAACGAAAATGTAATTTACCTACTGTAGCGGTAGTTTGTTAGCGATGGTTCTACCCCCTTGATTTGAAAACTGCCAGTAAATATGAATACCAGAATTCATAAGTGATTTTGATTTGATTCATATTTTTATTATTTGTGATTATTCCAAGGTTTGAAAACAAATAGTAACAATATTTTACCCGCTCTAAAGTTTCTCTATCGTAAAACATGTTTTCATCTTTTTTTTGATGGGATATTCAGAAATAAAACTTACGGCGCTACTCCAAAGACGATTGAAGTCCGAGCTAAACCGAGTTGCGACCAAGACAAGTACATACGTATCCAGAAACATTGTTCTTGTCAAACTTCGCGAAGTCTGGTTTCTATTACTTTTGGTAGGATTACATGAACATGTTTTTACTAAACTAGAACTAGAACTAAAAATGTAGTACCTAATGTAGTTATTGTAAAAGCTTATTTAAACATATTAATTATATCATCTGGGACTGCAAAATTTGAGAACCTATTTACTAGAACTGTAAGGTAAAAATAATATCAAGTTCATAATATAAGTAGTTTTTTAATCCAATAAAGTAGAAGTGCGAAACTTTAATTATTTAGCGAAGTGAATAATTTCAAGCTTAGTTTGTGTAATATGATAAACGTCATTCATTATTTATTTTATTTTATAACATGACTGTCCGTTTTGGTGACGCATATATTTCATACAGTAAAGTGTGAATCGACATTCTATACGTATGTTCTATACCGGTTGTCATTGCTTGTTGTTAAGTATTCTGAAGAAAACTAAATGGAACAGCTGGTCTGATGAAAGCTCTACGCCTCGTGAAAGTTAACTAAGTATTTAGAAAATTAACGGGCGATGCTTTCCTAAACCAGCAATAATATTTATTTAAGTACCTTTTTCTTTCCATCCAGCTAAAATTAGAGAAATGATTAGGCTTAGCACAAAGGAATTAATAAAAGATGAACTTAAAATGGAGCGTGTTCTTATGGGTTGAATTCCTAAATTGTAACTTAAAAATATAATTTCAGGAACAACACCAATGGAAAAGATCGGTGGTTATATTGCAGCCATGCGTGAGATAGTAAATTGTACTAATATTTCTTATGAAAGCTATGTAAACCGCTACAGGTATACAAATGATAATGGTAAGTATTGACCTTTTTATGCAGTTTTTTCGGTGTTCAGAGAAATAAGGGTAATTGACTATTACCGAGTACCAAGAGTTTTTTACGCCGGCTTTTTCTCTCGGCCTACACCCTCTGTCTTCTTTGCCGATGAGTAGGGATGCCTACAAATTCAAATTTAATGACGTGCAATAAGTGATACATGTAGTAGGTATGAGATCCCGCTATACAACGACCTTCACCGAGATGCTTATTTAATGAAACATATTTTATATTAAATTTAATATGTCAATGAATATAATCCAGATGGGTTGTCTAGCAATTTTCAGTCCAGAGTATGTTTAATTAATAATTTAAAAAAAAAATATTTTTTTAAACATTTCACTGGTATGATTATTAGATAAATTCTATACCTATCGAAAGTATGAAACCCATAGAATATGCAAACTTTATGCTGCCCATTCTTTTCCGCTCACAACTATCGGGTTGTCAGGTATAAACAGGTAAATCTGTACTAGTATTTTGCAACGGTCTGTTTATTGAATGAAATTTAAATGAAATTAAAGATTATTTTATTCTGAACACGGTGGTATAGGGTTGTCTGCGAAAAATCAGTCCAGAATTGCGGTTGTCGAATTTTAAAAAGTAAAATATTGCTCCAAGTGAATGTGTGCGACTGAGAGGTCCCAACCGACCATCCCATGCGATAGAAGAGGACACAGCATAGCAGCTGTTTAAAGTCCGCCCACTTAAAGAATGAGAGTGCGCATGCTATTTGGGCTTGGAAAAGAAAAGGATAGCGATGGACTCGTATAATTATGCATCATTTTGGAGTAGTTTATTATTTAAATAGAGAAATAGTTATTTAATATTTTTTTTAATCAATTAATTATTTATGTGTATATTTTTTATGTGACACTAAAGTATATATTATACATCTTTAGTAAAAAAGAAGGTTGTAGTGATTCATATACATATAATACTATCCTGATTAAAAATATTGATTGAAAAAAATTTACTACATGCAAATTATAAATCTATAAATGTAAACAGAGAAATTGAAATCAATTGAAACTATTGGAAAAAATTCAAAACCCATAAAAGTGATTTTTTTTAATCAGGGTTATCTTGCAAATTTTATTTTTATTATAAGACAAAATAAAAAAAAACAACAATTAAAAAATGACTTCTATTTATTGTAAAAAATTAAAAAAACATTTTTTTTTTTAAATTATTCAGAATCCGAGTCATAGGACATAAAACTACGATCTTCAACTTCTGAACCTTCTTCGTCATCACTTTCTGTTTCACTTTTTTCGACAATGTCTTCTATCTTTAAAGGTGTATGATCCCCAATGAATCCTACTGGTTTTAAATATTCATCTAAGAACCGTCCGCAGTTCTCAGGCTCAAATTTCACGCACAGCCACATGGAATTTACGAAAATAAAATATATAATTATTTAAATATATATATATATATATATATATATATATATATATATATATATAATTATATTTTAATATAGAAATTTAAAATTATCTTAGCTAATACATCTTGTATTAGCTAAGATAATTTTAAATAATAATAATTTTAGCAATATTTTACTTTTTAAAATTCGACAACCGCAATTCTGGACTGATTTTTCGCAGACAACCCTATACCACCGTGTTCAGAATAAAATAATCTTTAATTTCATTTAAATTTCATTCAATAAACAGACCGTTGCAAAATGCTAGTACAGATTTACCTGTTGATACCAGGCAACCCGATAGTTGTGACCGGAAAAGAATGGGCAGCATAAAGTTTGCATATTCTATGGGCTTCATACTTTCGATTGGTATAGAATTTATCTAATAATCATACCGGTGAAATGTTTAAAAAAATATATTTTTCAAATTATTAATTAAACATACTCTGGACTCTTATTTGCTAGATAACCCATATGGATTATATTTATTGACATATTAAATTAAATATAAAATACGTTTCATTAAATAAGCATCTCGGTGAAGGTCGTTGTATAGCGGGATCTTAGACCAATGTATCTTATGTTCCTTAATAAACATATTTTATTTTATTATATTATCATCTGTATTTGATATTGTTTGAATTGGATAATAAAAACTGATATTTAGGCTTAAAAGCATGTGTGCAAAAGTTATTACCATGGTATTACCAGAAATGTACCGGAATATGGTTAAATTACCAAACAGCTCCGGCACCGTTTTTCGTTAGCATTAATACAGTTCAAGAACACACTCGATGTCTTACACATATTTTCGACGTTTAGTGACACATTCCATCAAGTTTTATTTTTTAGGTCGAGCATGGTATTACCAGACATGTACCGAATATGGTTATTACCAAACAGCCCCAAGAAGCGGCACAGTTTTCGACCAATTGCGATGGCTCTCGGTACCATTCTACGTTGATTTATGTAAACAGGCATTCGATCAAAGGTCAGTAATAAAAAGATTTTAGGTATACACACTTTAAACATCTTTTTTCTATATAGACCAGGGTCGTTAATTTCTGAAACCAAAAAAATTACAGTAGGATGAAACCGATTAGAAAAGTAGGGGAATATGATCAAAATGAAAGGAAAAATAAATTACGGTCGATCTGAGGTCGGGAAGGGTTAGGGGGGAGTTTTAAGGGTAAAAAACGGTTTATCTCGATTTCCGGCAAAACTACAAGTCCTATGGAAAAAAATTAAATGGCAAAGTTGTAGGTCATAAAAAGATCTACAACTTTTGTATTTGCAATTTTTTCACATAACCTCAAAATTTAGGTGAAAAATTCAAAAAACCAAGTTTTTGGTTTTTTATTTATTTCTTTTTCAAACACATTTTTTTTTCTACGAAATTTGGTGAAAACTTACCTTATTATGTCCCAAACATACTGTAATTTATTTGATTAAAAATATTTATTTTTTCACCTTATTTTGAATTAATATCGAAAAAACCCTAATTTTCAATCGAAAATTCTGACGTCAAAATTTCAACTTTTTTCAAAAAGTTGGTGTGCTTTCAGTTCATTGAAATCACTACTTTCTATGGTAAAAAATATATATATATATTACCATAGTAAATCTTCTCAGAAAATGCAAAAAATCGAGATAAACCGTTTTTTACCCTTAAAACTCCCCCCTGCCCCTTCCCGACCTCAGATCGCCCGTAAATTATTTTTCCTTTAATTTTTATAATATTATCCACCCTTTCCAATAGGTTTCATCCTACTATTATTTTTTTCACTTTTTATTTTTTTTAAAGGCTATCTGCACTGGTCTAATAGCTAAAATTCCCTTTTTAAACAAGTTTGGCGAGTTCGTCACGTACTTTGTCATTTGTCCTGCGTACAAAGTACCTACCCGTAGTAGTTCCATGATTTATGTATTCGAAAATTATCACCTTGGCTGTTACAGAAAAAACAGCCCATCTTATCGGCGGAAGGAATCGCCTTAAATTTCTTCGAAGTTTAAGATAACCGTCTCTTTTAACTCATGGTCTGTTTTTTTTTGTTTTCTGTTCATAATGTTGAAGCTATGTTTCGGCCATAGTTATGAATCGAGCCAAAAATCGGTTAAGATCTTGTTATAACAACCCAAAAGAGCTTTGTGAAATTCTCAGTCTCGTTTATTTCCACGAGTCGGTAAGCATTCTCGTCACCTAGCACGCTTACACTTTTTCATACTTATATGGTTGTGTGTATAATATTATGGACTCATCAATTCTTCTACTATAAGACAGTAATACAGTTTTTAATAATTTGATCAGTCGCATCAGATCAGGACTCACGATGAAGGGCGTCTCGGGCGGGGCTCCTCGTTAATCGAAGTTCTTCCTCGCTTGAACTCAGCGCATCAACGAGCAATTATAGAATATGAAGGAGCATGCACCCCTCCTATTTTGATTTACCAGCTCCATAGTAAAGCAGATATTTTACTACTAGTTGGTGCTTCAAATTTATCAATTTTTAAGAACACGTTCCGTCTCGAAGCAAAAAATAAGAGTTATTTTTTAGAAACTACAAGAGAATGGATTGTTAGTTTTATCACTGAACTAATATTATAAAGAGGAAAGATTTGATTGTTTGTTTACATTGAAAAGGCTCCAAAACTACAGTACTGATGTAAAATTCTTTCACCAGTAGAACCCTACGTTATTATCTAGTTCATAAAAGGGCCTGTGACTAGTGCTAGACAGGTTAATTACTACTTCTAATGAATTTGTGATATTTGTTTTAAAATAAGTGTTGTTGATTTTACGCCGGCTTTTTCTCTCGGCCTACACTGTCTTCTTTGCCGATGAGTAGGGATGTCTACCATTTCAAATATTGTGTTATAATAAACATTACATAATAAACATTTTTTTTATCCCTGATGAACATAGGCTATAGAATATTTTCGATATTATAAGTACCTACATAAGCAATCAATAAGCAATATGATAACATATAGCATTATCACTATTTATAAAAGTACCTCGTATGTCTTCTTTTAAAAGTACCTAACAATTTTTCTTCTAAGGTATTGTTCTTTTATTCTCTTTTTTTCTTTAATTTACTACCTTAATTTGTATATAATTTTTATTTTTCGTCCATTTTCATTAAGCAAACAACGAAATTATTCATTTCTAAAACTTTTATCCTAATTTATACTCGAATAATATTACAGATTTGACGAAGCCTTCGTAAATGCAGCAGCGGACCGCAGCAACAGAGTCTTTGGTGGTTTAAATCCTCAAGTGAACAACACAATAAACATCCATGGAGTTATTGATCCCTGGCACGACCTTGGAGTTTATGATCGCGATTTGTCGGAAACATCGCCTACCTACACTGTAACGAGGTAATTTTAATGTGTTAATCATACCCATAGAGGGCGCTCTTTACAATTTTAGAGTGTAACCTGTTAAGAACCATTGACCATTTTGGCCATAATAACCATAATCGCAGGTTATTTTAATAAAATAGTTTAATTTAAAAAATCTATCATGACTGCTAAAATTCGTATCTTCGCTTTAAGTATGGTTTTATTTCGTTGTACATCGGATTCATAGGAAACCACTTCAACAATGTACGGTCTCTGATATTTGTAAATTTACAAATTAATATCATTTAAGAAGGATATAGGGCCTGAGTTAATGAATGTAGAAAATTAATTCAAAATAGAAAAAAAAAACAAATAAGGAATCGACTGTAAAGAATTAGAATTTGCACTTTACCAATAAGCCCTCATATTCATTATTTTAAACGTAATAAACCAAATCAAATCGTTATTTTCAGGGCCTCTCACTGCTTCGACTTGCAAAGTTGGCTTACAACTGATACGATACGTATGACTAACGCGCAACAAGCAGCGCGAAGACTTATAGCCAGTTGGCTTCGATAAAAATATCGGGTTTTGTAATTCCTATACCTTTTCTTCTTTTTAAGTTCATTGTGAAATATGTATATTAAATTCAAGGATAACTTAGGTATTAGTAATAAAATAACTCTATAACCATTCTAGCTTATTTTAATTTTGAATAAAAATACATTAAATCCATTAAGTAACCGTGACAAAAAGGTAAGGCGAAATAAAAAAATATATATTCGAATTCCCGATCGTGTCAAGAATACAATTTATTTCAAATTCACAAACGTGACAAATTTCCACAATAATCAAAATTTTTAACGGGGGAAACAGATCGAAAAATACATCATAATTAGTCACTACCCGACTACCGATGATCAAAGTTCTAATTACACTAATTTCATAAAATTCAAATAACTTCATCTAAATATCGGCAGCATTGTAAATGCACGGTACGCTACTGCCCTGAACGAGTCGGTGTGCTTTCGAAATGGCTCTTTTCCACTTTCGATCCTTTTCGGAAACACAACACAAATCGCAGTGCGCGAGAGTCGGGGAAATAATATACAACAACTGTGATACTGTGGCACATCGCGCGCACTACTGTTTTGCAGCGCCATCACTTCCGGCCGATAGACGGGGGTATGTATTGTATGCCTAATGCCGAGCTGCTTTAATTTTACATGTCAATTTAAATATAATATCACTTATGGCTCAGGTAATTGCGAGGGTCGGGCCGGAGTAGGCACTGTGACTCGCTCAAGGAAGTAACCGGCGTTACCGATTCGTAGCGCTTAAAATAACAAAGCTCAAATTCGAGATTGGCAGTTCACCATTTTAGGGCTTAAAACGTAACATAATTCATAAATAACACTGAGTTCAAGCATAAACGCGGCCTGCGGTGTGCTTAAAATTAGCTCAAATGGTGGAACTGCGAGCGTCCCCGAACTAACTCAAATTCAGAAATGACGTTACTCCTACTACACTACTAACGAATACTTATCGAATAGGTGCGAGCGTTAGCTCCGTTACAAATAAACTATAGAGAGAAGTTAGTGTTCGCTCTCGCTACGAAACACACAAGTGTTCAAATATACTGAAATATTTACAATAATCTAGGATTTCGTCGCAAGTCAATCTACGATGAGGGGCTTCGGCGTCTCCCAGGGGAAGCCCTCCCGCCCGAAGTGGCCGTACGTCGAGGTTCTTTGATATATCGGCGCCTTGAGGTTCAGGTCCCTGCAAAAGCCAATTGGTTATGAGATCATGAAGTAGGCATTGTGCAACGCACAGGTTAAAGTACTATAACTAAATAAAACAATTTTAAAATAATACCCTTAATTGTATTTGTATAGAATAACAAACTCTAGAAAGTAAATTACTTAAAATACATCAAAATAAATATATGACAAAGGGTATCTCACAGATAAGGGTATCAATGAGATACCTTTTGGGAATCAAAAATGTGACACTGAATGATCGGAAAACAACAAATCATGATGGACATTCATTAAATGTCTTTCGAAAGATGGAGAAGACACTGTTCTTCGATTAATATAGTAAGTGTATGTTGTAGTTAAGAAGATTTTAGATAAATCATAGGAACAACAAATCCAAGTAAATGAAACAATATATACTTGAATACAAAGCTATAAGAGAAAGAGAGAACAATCACAATTACTGTGTTAGACCAAGTTATTATACAATTGGACGCTATGTTATGCCTATGTGCATGAAGACTTGTTACTTGATTTGTTTATTTATATTGTTGTCCTTTATTTATTTAAACAATTAGAAGTCCATATGTTTAATGATAATGGACTTATTAATTAGTGTATTTTCTGTATTATTGCTGTGGTGATAATATCTTGATATATCATATTGTTTGCTTAAAATAATTATTTATTACATAGCTTGGATGATAGTTGAGTCACAATGTTATGGTTTTTTTAAATAATTATAGTATAAAAAGCATATAATATTTAGATATACACTTATGAGAATTGAATATACTTGGGCGATTATTATATATGAAATGAAATGAAATAGTTTATTCTTGCAAGTAGGACTATATAAATCACTTTTACAATGTCATCCTAAACTAGATGAAGTCGACATTTCCTAACTGACTGCCCTGAGAAGAAATGTCGAAACAAACTCGGGGGTCTTAGTCTCTTTTATAGTCCAGATAATACAATAATAAATTAATAAATTGGTGTAAACAAATGCAGAGTATTTACTGGACTGGTCTTTGGAAGAAAGAACCAGATCGATCTGAGCAAGCCTGTGCCAGCAGACGGCAAGCATGCCCCGAATAGCTCATGCAGCTCAACCATTTTTGAGGGAGCTGCACAACCCGGTACACAGCAATACCGCCAGTGGCACCATAAAAATATGTGGGGCAACAACTCACTCAGATCGCCAGCCCAAAATAACTATATAAATAAAACAGTCAGGTTAGATAGACCATTTCTAACTCAAGCGCTGAATAGATGTTAATGATATTTTGTTTTGGAGATCTTATCCCGTATACATTTTATATACACATATATGAAACTATTAAAGATTTTATAGTGATGTAGATTTTCACATTAAAAGTATTGCTTAAGATTATCCAAACTTAAAAGAGATATTCCTGTTTATTTTCTCTGTACATCCTGCCATACTTGTTCAAATATGTATATTGAAATACATATATATAAGATATAATTTATAATAAAAATTAATAATATTCATTCATTATTTAAACAACTTACTTGACAATCTTGCCTGGTCTCAGGTCAAAGTTCTTAAGAATGATGGAGAGCAGCTCTTGCTGTGTCTTGTGCGAGGTGCCATAGTCGAACACTGTGATCGACAGCGGCTTCGCTACGCCGATGGCATATGCGACCTGCGAATATTATAATATAAGATTATTTTAATACCAAATGTGGCAATATTTTCATTGGAAACCCACGCAGCATAAGCTTAAACTTTAAGTGATAAGTAGTTTTTCAGAAGAATCACTTTATTTGAAGATCCATAGACGAAGTGATCTGAATAATTGAATTGATATGAAGTATTAAACTCCCCTTTGGTTAGAGGGTTTTGGTAGGAAGGTAAATGTGTAGAACTTACACAAACCAGAATCATACATAATTTGCATCAACAAATTTTTTGACGGCACTAAGAAAAGGTTTATGAGAAAATACCGTAATGAGGCAATATAATTGTGGTTCTTAAGAAGTATATTGAGATATACCTTCTGATCTCAAAATAAACAATTTGAATGAAAATTACAGTTAAAACAGTAATTATGTTGAAGTACTTTTTATTAGTAAGAATTATTCAGATAGAGATACAAGGCCAAGAAATTATCATTTTATTAAATAGTATTGTGATAATTTCCTGCTAAAAATTTTGACATTAATTCTTATCAAATTTGATTTGCTTTGTTACTAACCTAAACTTTTAATTTAAAATGTAAATAACTACTCCTTTTGTGCCTTTTGCTATTTATAATGGGTGACTCACCTGAACCATGCATCGCCTGCAAAGGCCGGCCTTAACTAGAGATTTGGCGACCCAGCGGGCAGCGTAAGCAGCAGATCTGTCCACTTTAGTAAAGTCTTTGCCGGAGAAAGCACCTCCGCCATGGGCACCCCAACCGCCATATGTGTCCACTATTATCTTGCGACCGGTAAGACCAGCATCCGACTGAAAGATTAATTATTCATGGTATAAATTAACTATTCATTTTAAGTTTTTATTATACATTGTGCAAACAAAAATATACAAGATATGGTCACATGTAAAATTATATTTATCAAGCAGTGTTATATGAAAAATATAATTTTACATAAGGCTTTTGCCTCACCTGAGGTCCACCAATGATGAACAGGCCACACGGATTGATGTGTATAACAGTTCTTTCATCCAGGTACTGAGATGGAATCACCTCATTGATCACCTTATCTTTTATTTCTTCACGTAGAGTTTCCAGGCTTATCTAGAATTAATATTCAAATCCATAAGTTAAACATACCTATGCAAGTTCTTTTATTATGGTGAAGCAGACAATAATCATTCTCAACTTATTTAAAATTGATATCAACATAAATAGTGTAATAAAAAATCTGTTCAGAACTCACGCAAGTCTGGGTGAAACAGAAATCTAAGTTGATAGGCACAGAAGACCAATCACCTATATGCAATAAAAAAGTTTAATAGACTGAATTGTATCCATAGAACAACTTTTACATAATATAACAGACAAGTCATTTTAGCTTTGAAGGTTTAATAATTAAAATCTATTTCAAAGACGCCTTAAAAATTACACTAAATATAGAAATTTTTGAAAGGTTTCTCTACAAACATTCTATACATTTAATAAGATTTATCTTATAACAGCCAATTATTACCAAGTGAAATAAAAATAATGAACTTAAAAATTTCAGTTATAATTCCAATAGCCTTGACTGATAAATAGATAACCTACTTATGGAATCGAGACACTTAAAATTATCTAATTCGTGTCTGTTAAACCAAACATATTTTTGGTAACCCTACTGATAAAATATTTGATATGAACAAGAAGAAGGCGAATTGACATCATCTGTCAAATGTTATCACTAAACGATTTAACGTTTTTCGTTACATCTAGGCTGAATTTAGTGTCACGCAGACCACACGCGCACCGACGCCGCTGATGGTCGAGATATATGAACTTCTAGAAAGCGTTTTTGAATGACGCGTAGCTATAAGCGCGCACGGTGGTCAGCGCTGATGGCTGCGCGGCCGTACGCGTCGCGCGTCGGCGCCGCGTAGCTGTCAGCGCCGACTATCGCTAGAGCGCCTCAGGGTTCACAACCGTACGATAATTATCGTACATTTTCGATAATTTCATAACTACGTACGATGTACGATGGTACATGACTATCGTACCAGATTGACGATAATTTCCAGTCTGATAAAAATTTGATGATTACACAGATAGCCCAATAACAATTACAGTTTTTAGTGTCAGTGCCATCTATTGGCTTATTTTTCTATTAGGAACTTATGCTGTCACAAAGGCAACTACAGCAGATGAACAAACTTAATGTACAAACACAAAAACGCATCAGAATGCACAGCCAAAAATCCACGATTTGTATGGTGACGCAGATTTGGAAGTCTTCGATAACATTTTAATACCTAACGAATCTAAGTGATAAAAATATGCGATGTTTACGGACAATAGGTATATCCTTAGAGCGAACACCATATTGTTCAACGAAAAATATTGCGTATTTTTGATTCCTCTTTGACGAAAGAGATTTTATTTTCACGTTTCATATGATTTTTAAAGTATTTTAGCCATTTTCTGACTGTACGATAATTTATCGTATATGGATCACATATACGATAATTTTACGGCCCTGGTACGATAACTGCCTGGCTTCAGGTTGTGAACACTGGAGCGCCTCTGCTTTCAGAGAGCGTTGTAGTGTCGAACGGAGCGGACGTCGTCAGTGTACAGTCATGGCAAATCGCGAAGTGGATCGAGGTCGAGTTATCGACGAGGTACGCCTGAGGAAGAAATGGGGGGGCCCACCCCCCCCCCCCACAAAAAATTGACATTCAAAGTAATTAAAGTATTTACTTTCGTCAGCCCTCAAAGTGCGGTATAACCAGACAAAGTCTACTGCAACGGCTCTCTGATCAATCAATTAAGATAGGTAGTACAAAGCATCAATAACTAATACACTCCGCATTTTTGTCTTCGTCTGTACAGTAAGGCGGTCAGTACGATACTAAAACGAACCACGCTGAGCGTCAGCGCTGAGGAACTACTATCTATGAGCGCTGACGGTGAGCGTGAGATTAAATTCAGCCCTAATCGTCTGTATGCGTAACCTTCATGTATGTTTTTAATAATTAATCACTAATTATATGTGAAAACAATTAAAATGTTAATATATAGATTAAACAGGTAATTAAAGTTAATATATTCAGGTAATATATAATTGTATGATTCTTTTTCAGACGAGGAAATTGATTTTGAATATTAATAGAAAATAGGAATTTTTCCATGTGCAGAACTACAAGTTATTCTAAACCTTCAAAACTAAATAGTGTTTTCCTGGGAATTTATGCTGCAAAGTTTAGGCAAATGCAAGAAAAAACTTTCAAATTATACGGAAATATACCTTCTCCGAATGTTGCAGAGAAACAACAACAGTATGAACTCTTTGGGGAACAGTTGCACCACCAGCAAATATGTACTCGCATGTAACCTGAAACAATATTTATTTATACACTTCCTTGCAGCCATATTGCTTTCAAGGAACTCCTTCAGGCAACCACAATTATATTCTAATAAGGCTTTTCTTATCATGACCGTGTATGGTCCCGTTGTCTCCTGACATAGACCTCTAAACTGTCCTGAGCTTCTTTCTACCTTCTGAATTAGTTTAGAAAATTTCATTAAAGAGAGAAATTTAAATCTAACAAATTTGATGTAAATTATTTCGGCAGATATACATTATCTTATTACTAGATAATACTATCCATATTGTACAAACATTGATAAACTACGTAATAATAAAATTTTATAAACAATTCCTTCCAGTAGTTTTGAGAATGACGTGTTCTGTTTGTTCTTAACACATTCATGTTTTTAAAGAAATATTTTAAGAACCTTCACTGATAAAATGTAACCCCAAACTTTTGATATTAATGTTATTAACAATTAAAATAACAATGAAGATTGTTATATTAGAAACTAGTTCACTTTAATGTAATTTAAACATTTAATTTTAAGTTGCCGTTTCAATGATTTCCTTACTTAGCTAATGGCCTTATAACCTGAAGAACCGGTTCTGATTCCCGGTGGATCAATACTTGGTGTTAGTAATTGTTACATGTACATATGTAGCATTAGTCCTAAGAGCTACTTGTTTTAAAAAATATCTGGGGCTGATATGGATATTTCTGTGCTGTAATATTTACTAACATGTAATTAAATTTTAATTCTAAATTTAAATGTTTGAAAGCTTGAGTTATTTGAATAAAGATATTACTTGTGTCTTGGAGTCAGGTCGTGCCCACCAAAACTCTCCATTTCGCCGGAGCTCAGCAATTTTCTGGTTAAGTCTGTGAGCCAGCACCACAGTTAAGGGCATACATTCTTCAGTTTCATCAGTAGCATATCCAAACATTAATCCCTGTTGAACAGTAATCATGGTAATAAATTCAATATGGTAACCAAAGTACATAAAAATAGTACAGATAATGATTTTTTTAAATAAAAGGTAACACAAAATTCTTGAGCTGTCTCAATGATAATTTTTTTAAACACAATATTTTATTAAAATAAAATATGTATATGTTAACGTAAAATTGTAAAAACCGTTAGATTGTAATCTATCTCGCGAGATTATAAACTGTCGAAAGATTGTGAACCTCAGCGTACTGCTCACAATTTAACGTATTATTATTCGGTAGATTGTAATCTATCGAAGTGAAACCGTCAAATTGTGAAACGACCATTTTCTACTTTTCTATTGGTTATAAGAGATGTGACATTCTCGTTTTCTATTGGTTATAAGTGATGTGACATTCTCGGTAAACTAATCGAATCGATTATTTCCTCATTTGTTAATTTTAAAGTTAAACCTACTTTAACCATTACTTGTCAAATGTATTTATTTATTTATTTAGTTATAAAGCTTACGACATCACACACAGTCCTAAATCTACTAATAATTTTACAAAATCTTACTTCTAAAATGTGTGACAGTTAATGTAAGCATAATTTTCTCCAAAAAAAATTTAAATAGAAATTAAAAAAATACAATTTAAACATAAACGACATACAAGCACACAAATAAAATAAAATTACAGAAATTTGTTGGCACTTAGAGCAGAAAAAAAAGAAAAATCATCAGCAAACCAGCGAAATTAGGTTACCTCACAATGCTTTCTCTAAAACCGATCAGACCACTACCGAATATATTCAGCTCCGGATAAGCTGTGTTCAATTTGTTAAAATCACGAAGAATTCGAACGAGAGGTGCCTGAACTCCTAGGTTGGTTTTCAAAAATAATCTATTTTTTAAAAGTGAAAATCGATTTTTGTATTCGATTTCGGTTTCAGTTGAACAGTTATTTAAAAAAAAATATTAATATACTAACCTAACCTAACCGAATAATAATACATTTTTTGGACAGCTCCGGCGCTCGGGAAATGCACCCCTCCACCCTTGCTGCTCTTCCTCCGCGCCTCTGATTTTTTATATACACTCTAGGGGTAGGCCAGACAAGACCACGTGGATAGTGGGGTGCTCTGATTCGGTTTTGGGTACTTTTTGAATAATTTCAAAATTTTCGGAATCCTACACTAATTGAAACGTGAAGTTAATGTAATGTATGTACATTTGACAAGTAATGGTTAAATTAGGTTTAACTTTAAAATTAACAAATGAGGAAATATTCGATTCGATTAGGTTCAACTTTAAAATTAACAAATGACGAAATAATCGATTCGATTAATTTACCGAGAATGTCACATCACTTATAACCAATAGAAAAGTAGAAAATAGCCGTTTCACAATTTGACGGTTTCACTTCGATAGATTACAATCTACCGAATAATAATACGTTAAATTGTAAGCAGTTCGTTGAGGTTCACAATATTTCGACAGTTTACAATCTCGCGAGATAGATTACAATCTAACGGTGTTTACAATTTTACGCTAACATATATACATTAGAGAATTTCAGTCATATACAGTAAAAAATATCTACAGAATGCAACAATTACAACATAGGAGTCACACTTAGCACTGTCTTGACTCTGAATATCACCCCAATGGCTAATGATTTTTGAAAGCCCAGAAAATGTGCACAATGAGAATTGATGTTATTAATGGTCAGAAATTCAATATATTTTTTTATTATTATTTTTATAATTATTATTTTTTATTATTTTTTGTATGTGTATAGGTGTAACTGTGCTTTGTGTGTGTTTAAATGTGTATTCCGTTTTTGGCTTGTGTATAGTACAATTTTTTGAATATTGTATAGTACTCGTAAGTAGCTGTAGGAATACCATTAAGCAAATAAAAAAAATAAGATAAAATGAATTAAACATTCTAATGATATTATTCAAGCTCTATAGAAACCTATACCTTTTATATAAAACCATTTTATATTTGTACCCTAGATTTACGTTAACTGAGTTTTAGTTTTACAATGACGCTCAGTAAAAGTAACAATTGTTATGTGCATATATAAATGACAAAACACATACAATTTAATTAGCAACAAAATCCAAATACAAAAAAAGGTCACCTCCAGGCACCTTTATCATTTACATAAAAATGTAGTTCAAATACTTTTTTATGATTTAATAGAAACTGCTGTTATTGTGTCTAATGTAAGATGTACTTAATCTGATTATTAGATGTAATATTAAATAGTAATTAATATAAATATTGTTTTTCCTTTGAAGTTTCCTTAACTTGTTCTTTTTATATTTATTATCTGATTTACTAAATCTTTATATTTTAGGTAGAAGGCTGATCACCTACTTGCCTATAAGAAAATACAAATGACCACAGAAAACAGATACAATCTGATTTGTAGTAGTAGTGGATGTATCATGTTTCTTGAATTATTTTGTCTCCTGTATTTAAAAATACCTAACTAGTGGCATACCTGATCACCCGCCCCAACTTCTTCATCGTTTCTGTTCTCATGCACCCCTGCAGCAATGTTTGGTGACTGCTGGTCCAGTGCCAGCATCACACTGCATGTCTTGTAATCAAACCCTGACCCAACATGCATTATCAATTAAATGTTTATTTATGATGTTACAATATATCCAAAATCTATCTCCTCTGAATTGTTTCAGTTAAGATTGTTGTTTACACCATTTAAGTATGATACAGTGACTAATGACTTAAGTCCTAGAAAGCATGCATTTCCCTATATTGACCATGATATCCCAATTCGTGCAGAGCCGAGAAGTATACCTGATCTCCAGCCCCAAATTCAGATTCATCTCTGTCCTGATATACCCCTTCGGCAATGTTGGGACTTTGTTCTTCAATTGCCACTAACAAATTTAGTGTTCTCCAATCAAAACCTAGTGCATGAAACACAATTTAGACTACTTGTAATTGGAGGTCAAGAGACAATTTTGATCCGTGTTCAATATCACTGTCTGGATTGTTGCCAATTGATAATAATTATGTTTGTTTACTAATATTATTAAACTTTCCACAAACCTTTGGAAGAATCATCATAGCCGATATGTTTAACAGTTTCTCTCACAACCTTTTGATAGTCAACAAAAGCCTTTGATGTTATTTCACCACACAGCAGTACCATGCCCGTCTTTGTGACTGTTTCTATAAATAAACACAATATAATTACTAATAGCGAACATTTATTGGTATCAAATATCGGTACATGGGAAGATTGCGCGAGAACTTACCACATGCTACTTTTGCGTCCGGGTCTTGAGCTAAATGAGCATCCAATATTGCATCACTTATTTGATCACACATCTTGTCTGAAATAAAATATTGATATTTCACAGTTAATACATAAAAATAATTTAATTGGTCGCGATCGGTCCAACCACGTGTTTTGATTATTGCAAAGCATAACATGACCCAGAAAATGTGATGTAATTGAATTTACATCTTACACCACATTAAAATCGGTGAAGTGTACAAGTACAATAACATACAAAAACAAAACAAAGTGGTCGTACATAAATGTAATATCTGCGCACATGTATTAAGTCGGCCATTTTTTTAATATTTTCGTTATTCCCATATTATTCTGAAGAACTAACCTGGATGACCCTCGCCCACTGATTCTGAAGTAAATAGAAACAATGATCCATCTTCCATATCATAACTGTGGCCATTTGTTTTTGCAAAGCCATTCATTTTCGAGGTTTCCGGCATTCTGAATTTAGAGTTAGCTCACAAAAATAACACGATAAAACCTCTCGTAATAATACTGTGGAAAAGAGGCCCGGCGCGCGCTCACACTGATATTTATAACGTTGGGGTGGCGCTATAGTATTCAAAATATAAGCCAATCACAATCGTCGTATTTGACACTGCTCGTCAAAATCTTGGCTGCTATTGGCAGTTTTATTTTGTTTTCATTCGGTATAACCTAAAAAAAAGATCCCATGTGTAATCTGTGATGATATGAAAACTGGCGCGTATTCTAGTAAAAATAAAGTTTATGTTATTAGCAATTATCATAACTCCTAAGGAACCAAAATATCCAGAATTATAAAGTTCAAAAAATATCTCGGTGGTGAAATTTTATAATTTTATTAATACTTTATATGTATAAATACTGTAGCTGTTTTATTTTTCGTATACTGCATGGTTGTGTTATTAGCGGTTGTTTTCCAGTAATTAAACCATTTAAATGAAATATTGAATACCTACTACATAAAAACTTTTTATTGTTTAAGAAATATTAAAATATATATAATTATACTAAATTAATAAAGTTAAGAAAAATAATAAATTAGCTGAAATAAGTATAGCTGAAAATAATTTTAACTTTATAATAAACTTTGACAAATTTGACTAAACGATATCATAAAGGTATCATATTATTTGCTAAAAACACAAGGTTGACACAAGTAGTTAGATAATCACTGAACACTCACTAGTAAGAACGTTTCCCGACTGGAGATATACGCAAACTGACTCCAAAACTCGCAAGTCCATAAACTTAAAGATTAGTTCACACAAAGAGTGTAGTTAAATATTATGTATTTATTCATTTTAGTCGAAGAGCTGCCGCTTGAATATCAAAATTTATATTTAGTGAATCACTGTAAGTTGAATTTCAGAAAAAGATGTGTTTTGAGATTTTTATTTCCGAAAACGATGTACGTTATATACGTATTATATATAAGTTATAATTGAATAAATATAGGTTATAGGTTATAAATTTAGAAACAGTAAATTTCAACTTTCGAAATGGAAACAGGGGAATTCTATATAAAAAATTTACTAAATTATTTTATATAAAAGAACGAATTTAATAAGAAAGTACTGTTTTCATTTAATTATATTAAATAACCCAAAATAATGTTAATAGGTACTTGCATATTGAATAATAAGTAATTACCTACTATATTGTTAGGTGGTAATTATCCACAGTTTTAATTATACGTATTAATTTATTTTTCTGTTTTTATACCTGCCAAACAAAAAGTATTTTAATAAGATATTTATGTGTCATTTAATCAAGTGTGAGGCTGCGGTGACGTATGAGGTACCTACGTAGGATTTCAACCTGACATCACGACAAACATGGGAATAAAATCATAGATCTCCAAACGTAAAATGACGGTTTAAAGTTTAAATATTCGCTTTTGTCGTCAATCATCGCAAAATTAAAAAAATAATCTAAATAGATATTCAACTTATCTCTTAAACCGTTAGCAGATGAACTAATGACGTAATTTCGGTGTGAGAGTTCATCGATAACTTTATAGAATTTGTTGATATTACGTACGCGATTATTTGCTTGAAAACAAGCCAGAAGTATTGAAAAATTAAAAGTTCATATCGCCTTAAAGAGTTAAATATCACAAACACATTACTTAATCGAGTAGACAGCAGAAGCACTAAAATATTTTGTATTCCTATATGTTTTACTTAATTTTTTGAGTTGTTTACTTTTATGTTGGTTTACTTTTACTATGATATTTATTCGTCGAAATTGGCATAAAAGATAAAATAAATAAGATAATTTTTTTTTAAATACCACGCAGTGTGTAATTAACGCGTATGATTTTCATTTTCACGAGTAAATCTTCAGGATTGACCTTGATGATATGATGACTCATTAGTCATTTGCTTGTGACTTATCATGCTTACTCCTATTATTTATTAAAATAATTCATGCTTACGTACTATTTTTATTGAAACTGTATAATATTCAATCAATCAATTAGTTACATATGTGAGGCTATGTCGTGAGTTTTCCCCCCTCCCCACCCCCCTCGGTTGGGGGTTTTCTTCCCACAAAAAAAAATTCTTGCTTTTTTTTTGGTTGGTGGGAATATTGGGGGTTTTTAAAACCCTTGGGGGGGGGGGGGAAAAAAAAAAAGGGGGGGGGGGGGGGGGGGGGGGGGGGGGGGGGGGGGGCTGGGGGGCCCCTTTTCCCCTTTTTTTTGCCCCCCCCCCCCCTTTATCAATAAACAAGTTATTGAAAATAACAAAGTACACGGTCATGCTACCATTTCAAATTCAATTCAATATTCATCATACAGTTAATTTAGTCAGGAAAATGGTTATTTTTTTTAAATTATACATTGTTATATTTTAGTGTCAGAAAGGAAAGTTTTAAGTCACATTTCTGAATACTATATAATAGAAAGTTGAGATAATAATATAAGATAATTGTTATCCCAGTCTGTAGGTGATATCAACACGTATCGTGGGTTCGTATCACGGCTGAGCATGGATTTTTGTTAAGGAAATTATCGTGAGGAAAGCATATTTAAGACACATTTTTTTAACACAATACCATGTTACAATTTGTAGTCGAAACTTTATTGATAAACTTTAACATTATAATGACCTTGTCTAACATGACGAAATGGTTGCATAACATTTTTGTCTGATATATAAAGGATTATGCTATGTTCTGCGTGACTGATTATGGCTTATATAAACCTTTAAAAATAGTCTTTAGAATTATTATTTTCGTATATAAATACTGAAAAGATAGCAAGAATCGTTTCTGTAGGAATTTTTAATTTCAATTATTTTATTAAAATAATTAACTTGTTATTGTCTGACGTATTGAGCAGACACCTCATGTATATGTATCTATGTTACAGGAGATTGAAACTAATTAAAATTATGTTTTCGTAGGTTTTAGGTATTGTTATATTTTTGAAAAATAAGTAATGTATGTTTTATTTTTAATTCCGAAATACAACATACCTATTATTTTCACATTGTATGGAGATTGGAGACGCCTGTGGCTGAATTGCTATTAGATGAAGAAAAGAAATGTTTTGCCCGGAGTTAAGTTCGGTTGTAGTTGGAGGGAATGAAACTCTTTGTTTGAAGCTCGAATGTTTGAACTAACATAAAATTAGGGGTTAGTGGGGTCGCGACGCTGAATTAACAAAAAACTTACTTGTAAGCCGTTAAGGCAAGTTAAGGGTTCTTAAATCTAATTGACACTTCAATATAAGTGTAGTCAAGCTATTGGACATTATCGGAAACGAGAATGTTAAATTATAATTTATGAGTGGAAAAACTAAAGGGCTCATTTTGGCTTCAATTGTGCGAAGATTGCTAATATTTTACGCTGATAATTATTAACTAAAATATATATTTGTAACTTAACTAATGTTAGGTTACATAACTCGCCAGGCCCAGCCGCCCATGTGTGCGAAGTGTGCGGTGTCACACAGGCGCTGATACAATAAGGGCGCCGCCACCGAAATTATTTATACTACACTAAATATTCTTTACGTACGTTTGCAAGTTTCATTTTACGCTTTAGGTTTTAGTTTTACATTAATTACTCAGAGCTTAGCGAATCAAAGCAAAGGGCCGCTGGTGACCGCCGTGAGTTTTTGAGTGTGTTTATGTCTTATGATTTCAATAATATGCCGACATACCTTGATAAAATCCAAAATGAACTATTTTTTACTCGGTAACCAAATTCAACATTTTATTTTAAATTTATGTCGAATTAATAAATATTTTTCAATAATACTGGATTGTACTACTGACGTTTCACACGAAGAGCAAATTAGTATGATAATAAGATTTGTCAACTTTAACATGTAAACTAGAAAGTTAAGAATAAGAGAGCATTTCCTCAGCTTTCCAATTTATAATAGCACTTTCTGCTCAATCGCGTAGAGTACAACTGGCGCTGGAGGTAACGTCATTTATAATAGAAAAACTAAACGAAATTAATTTGAACATAAAGAACTTGAAGGGGGGAAGGCTATGATAATGGCTCAAATATGCGGGACATAATATTGCGGGATGTACGGGCAAATCTCCCCCCTTTTTATGTCCGTGCGCCAGCCATAGTTTAAATTTAATAATAAATGACGCTCACATCTCATACACGACTGCGTTTTTAATATTGTGCAAGAACTATATAAATATTTTTCGTCCTCTACTAAAGATGGGATTTATTACAAAGATATGTCATAAATCTGACCTTAAAAGATAAAAATAACATCATAAATAAACTATGTAACAATTTAATTCAACGTTTTTTTTTTTCACGGCAATTGGCCAGCCGGACGTTTTACCTATTTAAGTGGATTAAACTAAAGAAAATTTTCCTTCCAGCCCAAAATTAAAAAATACATTGAAACTTGAAGATTCCTTAAAAATAGGCCGAAATATAGAAGGAGTTCCCTCAAAGGCCTGCAACACCCGCTAAAAATGTCTATGAGATTCAATGACTCAATTTTTTACGTCCCGTAAGGATAATTTGAACTAAAATATATATTGTGAGTTTCGAACTAATGTTAGGTTAGGCCCTGCTCGGGCCAGTATCTTAAAATATTCAATATTAATTAGCAATACAACCTATAGATTACTTATGGTTTGCTAAGTTTGTGGGTGATTTTTAAGTTACTTGACGATTACAAAACAGTATAGTACAGTGTACTTACCCTACACATATAACATATTTCTATTCTATATAGACATAGACATATCATTTATTACAAACAAAAACACACACACATAAACACACAAAATAATAAAAATCAAAGAGAAAAAATTAAATAAAAGATCTAGTGAGAGGTACCTATATAAAAATATATTTTTTTGTCCTTTTCCCATTCGGTTCGTTTCTGCTGCGGCTGTAATTGGCCCTGGCTCAGCATTATGCTGAGGAGCAGAATGTTCCACAGAGCTGGTCATTCTGCCAGAGACCA